GATAGAGAGTCAGAGTCATGTCTTGTTTCCGCATGACCCCTCTGCGATAACTGTGTCTTCTGCTTTGGGACAGAGTGCCCTCGACGATGAAGTCATTTTATCCTGCTTCAGGTAATCCGTCAGAGTTTGGGTTCTGAAGGGTTACTTTTCTGATAATGCACACGGATAGGACTCTGCAGCTCAGCCCCTACATCCAATATTCAATATCCCACACCGCATCAAATGGTGGCTCGTTCAATGGCTTGGTGTAAGTTCGCCAGGGCCGCATGGATCGCCGACGCAAAAGCAACCAGCCGCGCGCTATTCATCTTCCCCAGATTCTGGAGCTGGCAATTGTAGGCCGTGCTTACAGCAGAAGTGCGCCCATACCGATATCCTCTGGATTACCTATGTACATCCCCCTCAGCTTTCAGGAATGGAAATCATAGTTCGGCCCCTCCCCGCCATCCCCGGGCAAGCCGGGGGTCTCATAGCCGTCTGACCTGGTCGCAGCCGGGACCCGGGGCGTCTGTTGGCCGCACGCAGTACCACGTTCGGGCGCTATCCTGTGAGACTTGGCTTGCTGTGTGTGCTACCACGCTGCAACATGCTGTTGGCTGATGGCTGAAAGGAATGTCACGGGTGGGTGTGTTCGTGCTTCAGCCTGCTTGAACTGGTGATCAGTTACAGTCAACTGATGGATGATTCGGGATGGGCGCGCTGCTTTGTGTTTTGCAAAGTGAAATGGTCAAAAAGCGGCCACGACGATTGCTCCTGATGCAGGTGTGAGGTTCGGGTGTCATTGAACCAGCAAACCCGTTGAGGCTGCAATGACCCTGAACAACTCATCGCAAGTGACCTCATAAGGCTCGTGGCCGTGGTCGACGGGATGAATTGTTGGTCGAATAAGATGAGCCTGGTTAATATGGGAGACGCATTATGACTAAGAAGCGAAGCAGAAAAGCCAAGTTTCTGCCCTTGTCTTGACCTCATGTCTGATCAAATCGCGTGTGCGGTTCGTTAGTTGTCGCACGGGGGAGTCCAATCAATGACCGTTTCGCAATTCCATTTCTCGCAGTCCCGTCAATGCCGTCGGGACTGGATGAGCTGTAGTGTAGTGAATATAGACAAAACGCATACGTATTGGCGTATTCGTACCGCACTGTATTTCTCCTACATCGGTGACAAGAATCAAGGTCCTGCGTCTCTTCTCAGGGTCCGTAGGGAACGCGCCACTCGGCCAGCCGAGCCGCCCTGTCCGAGTTCTGAGCTGGGCAAGCCGTGATAGGGGTACCGGTCCACGGCTCACAAGACATGAGGGATGAGAAAGGGCTATGGTGGAAGGTTACCATTGACCGTATCTCTGTGGTAGGCATCCGCACGGGAAACGCTGGAGCTAGCACGGAGATGAAGACAGCCGGAAGAGGCACTTGCAGTGGAAATATAAGCCGGCCTGAGAGCGACTGATATTGTTCTGAGGCCAAGAGGCTTGGAAGACGAATACTCGGAGCGCGGCCGGATCGTGGTGCCTTGGCGGGTATGGACGGGGTGGAGTCGACAGAGTCCGCTTCGGAGGAGCAACACCACCTTCGGTTTTGGTTGCTTGAACATTGTGCAAGTTCGCCGCTGTATCCATAGCGGCCGTTGTTGGGCCTCGAGGTCTGATTCCTGTTGGTTGGCCCGGGGCATGGCGCGCCTTGTCTTACATGATGGACTCTCACCGGAGGACCGCACCCCCCCACACGAGCTTGCACGTTTTTCTCACCAGCATGCAGCATGGGATTGTGGGTCTGGAGAAAGAACGCCGAAGGCATGTAATCATGAATGGAGACGGCGGCGGCGGCGGCGATGGTTGAGGCGGATCCGGAGTCGGGTGCTGTTTTGAGGTCCTATGCGGCCATGCCAGGCTTGAGCTGTGGAGTTCCCCTGCAAGTAAGGCGAGATAGTTGCATGTCAAGATGGGCCAATGGCTTTACGATGGATTGAGAGTACGTCTTAGATATCACGATGCTCAATCGACTTGGTGTTGGCCGTAGACAGTGCCTACCTATTCGTACATGTGTTGGGTCCCTCCTATCGTGGAGTAAGGCCTACGAGGGAAGCAAACATGCCGTTTTGGGCCTTGGCAACCAGAGGACGGGAATTAGAAGCCGAGACTTGTGATTACGGTTCCGAGTTTCGTGATAACGACCTGTTGACTTGCATTGGCGCCGCATTACGGCCACAATATCTGGGCCCCTGAGCAGGGATCGTGTCACTTGCCTCTCCGCACATCGCAACGCAAACATCGGACGTGGCACTGGAAAGCAAAGGTGAGATTCTTCGCGTTGTTGCGTCTGTTCCCCAAGCATCAAATGTCATTCAGGATCCGGATGCCGGATCAAACGAGAACAGCACTCCTTGGCCAACGTTCCCTAATTTCGTTCTTCCCCATAGCGTCCGGAAAGGGCATACCGAGGGTGCGGGGGGAACATAAGGTCATGTTCATGTTCGTCACGGTCGAGGGGGGCCTTCTGCTCGAGATGATCTGAGGAAAAATGGTGCTTTGAACGCAGTGCTGTCATCTGTCACATTGTTGGCGAATGGACGGGGCGACATCACCCAAGCTCCCCGGCGGACTGGCGATTGCCGCATCTTACATCACCGTCGCAACTCGCCCCTGGCTGGCCCTGCTTGGCCAGCGCTGGATGTTGCACTGAGCTTTTGCCGGCCGCTGGAAGTTGCTGCCCTTCACCGCAAGCCCTTTCGGCAGTGTGATGGAGGCTTTGGTTCTCTGACCGAGCAATATCGAGAAACCTGGAGACGGCAAAAAGGGGGGTTTGCCTAACGGCACGAAAGGATCTCGTAGGGGTAATAGGGCGAAGATCACTCGAGAAAGCAGGGTAACAGAGCTGAGAGACCACTGAAGCTCCAGCAGTGACCACACCGATCCGATCTCGTGGGAAGGATTCGGTCCTCAAAAAACAGGGAAAAGCAAAAGGTATGAGCAAAGACTACTCCGTACGGGGTTGATTACTGCATGTAGGGGGTTGTTGTAGGACAGACCAGAGGTACCAGAGTGGCAGAGAGCCACTGGACAAGGGGACGGACGGCAGCCGAAGCGAGGGGGATCATTAGTGACGAAGAGGAAAATAAGGAAATAAAAGAGGGCAGAAGAAAAGGCCCTGGAGATCATTACATACATACAGAGTACAGGACAGGGCCATCTCCGTACGTGCGTTGAAGATCAATAATGGGAAACCGGGAAAAACTTGGTGACACCAGGCACGCCGCACGACAGGACGGAGGACATTGCCATTGCTAGTAGACAGCGCGAAGGCGGTAGAGGATCAATCAGTGTCCACTAGCAAGACTGGGCCGTCAATGTGCCCCGGAGAATTGGGAGTGTGTGTCCTGGGACTGCCCACGACTCCTGGACTCCTGGCAGGCTATGGCGTTGGTTATCCCACTCTGGAGACTCGAGTTTGGTGCCTTGGATTCTCTGGAAGGGGTAACTTTCATTACATCAACGTCCATGGGGATGATTGGCCGGGCGAATACTCCGCGACCTTGGGGGGCGATGTGAACCGTGAACCTGTTCCGGGCTGAATCCTGACGCGACGGGCTGGGATGAGAAGCGCGTTGGTGGGATTTCCTCGGTGGATTAGGAAGATCGATCGAGATTTGGGGGTGCGATTGTACAGGGAGGAGCGTAATTGTTCGCTGCCTTGATGTCTGGTTCTCTAGTTTCTACCGCGGTACTGTAGTGTACGCATACTAAAGACGGCCCTTGAGGGAACCAATGTTGGCGGGCACTAGAGCGGCAGATACAACTATTGTGTCGGATAGGGACTCCATAGCTTGAGCGTTTAAACTTGTAACTCGCAGTAGAGCCGAATAGAACGGCAGTCATGATGGTGACATCTTCTCCCGGCATAGTGTAGTCCGGAAGCTTGGGCCCAGCGAGGGGTTTACGTGCAGCATAGCAGTACAACAGTAGTCACGGATGTGGATGTTCGATGAGTGGAGATGGACGGGAAGAGACTGAGTATGGGAGACGGTATCCGAGAGGCTTTGGTGATTCTCATCCCCATTGTCAAGCTGGTGGTGAGAGTACGCCAGCGAGCAACGACAGCACGACGACCGCAGCGCCGCAGACTGACAGCCATTGTGGACACTGGAGGCCCGCGAGGGAAGGGTAAGAAAGTGGGCTATGGCGCCGTGGGAAAGGCAAGCTGAGAGAAAGACTCCATAGTAAGAGTATCCATGGAATCTCCAAGATAGACACAGGGTGAACGAAAGATGGCCAGGAGAGACAGACGGGTTCTCGTTGAACCTTGTGGATCTACCTATGAAAAAGTAGGACCCGGCGATGACAAGACCGACGAAAGGCCCTCTCTCTATCTCCTCAAGAGGGGAAGGCTACGGCGGCAGCGAACCAATAGAGGAGAGCGGCGCGAGCACACATCCAGAAGACAGAGTGGGAAACATGGGAGAAAGAGACACAGACAGAAAGTGAGAGACATGGGGGAGAGGGAGAGAGACCTTAACCAGCAAAAGAGCTGCCCCAGGCGCATGCAACGTTGGACCGGGGCCCTTGTCACCATTTTGTCACCCTGTCGAGTGTCGCCTTGTCACCCTCGTCCTTGGCCTGCCCCTGTCCCAGTCTGTCCAAGTGTCGTGCTGGCCCCTGGTCCTGGCTTCTTTTTTGCTTGCGGGTGCGGTACGTGCTTGCTTGGGCTTTCTGTCTCGTCCCTCTTTCTTGTCAATGGGTGTTGTGTCACTGCGGTATCCGGATGGATATGTGTATCTCCAACAAGAAGAGTTGGCCATGATATCAGCGGTTGTGCTTGTTTGCTCTCTTTCAGTTACGAAAGCTATATGACGGTAGACATATACGCTGTGTGGAAGTTCATCCCGCATCGGCGACTTACCATTTAGTCGTCACCATGCCATGCGGTACCACCATGTTGGGCATGGGCATTTGATTTTGATCTGGCGGTATCTAGTGTAGTTCGTAAAGTTGGTAAATCCTGCAGCTGCTTGTTGCTTATTGCTTCGGCCGGCCCTTTGCATCGCATCGCATCGCATTCGAACCCCCGTTCTGTCCTGTCCTCAACTTCTTTGGACAAGAGTGCTAGTCCCATCTTGGAATATCCGCATTCGACTCTGTGGTGTATTCCCGCACATCCGTACAAATCCCACGTTCTTGGGTTCGTCGTCCGAGTTCGACGCTTACCTAGTACATAGTTCTTCCTTGGGCACCACCACTACCATCACAACCATCGCCTCGTCCGCCTCGGCGAACCGCACCCCTCACGAACGGGATCAATTGAGGTTAATTCTCTCAAGAGTGTGGTGGGTGTGAGAGTGAGTGTGTGTGTGAGTGGGCATACGATACTCTATCTCAGGTTTTCATCTCAGACCTGCAGCGTCGGTCTGCCTTATCTCGGCGGTGATCTCACACCCACAAGAAACAAAACAACAAACGCCAACACCGACAACAACATCTGCGCGTTAGGATTTCACTTCTCCCTCGTCTCGTTGTTGTTTATTGTTCTCCCGCGACTCTGCACCTTGGCGAAACGGCATCGTCCCTGCGACTCTTGATCTCCCTCCGGCCTCAGCCCTCCTTCAGCCCTCAGCTCCCACTATCGACGAAACGTGCCTCGTCTAGCATCATCCCTCTCTCTTCATCTCACGCTTCAGCACGCTACCCGGACCCGAACTGCGGTGATCCCACGGATATCAATACTTTTAGCGATACCAAGACAAGAAAAAAAAGGGCACAGACGATCGTTGGCCGCCCTGTCGTATCGTTCCCTTGGGTTTTCCCAAATTCCCCTAGCTTTTTCTAAGTACGGAACTGGCACGACTGGGATTGCCGACTCTTCCATCATCATCTGTGCTCCACAGAGGGTCTGGCTTTAAGCGCGACGACGGACGGCGGACGGCGGACACGAGCAAAATAGAAACCCGAGACCCTCTTGTTCGTTTATCAGCCTCTCTCACCGGGCCATTGTCATTGTTCCCCGTCGTTTCCATCCAGGTCGCAGATCGGGTGCGAGGACCCGAAGTGTGGTGAACAAGGTCCTTGTGTCTTGTTGTTCGTGTTTACCGCATAGCAGCTCAACAAGCTCGACAAACGATTTGTCTTTGTACAGAGTCGGTGTCTAGTGACAGAGTCATTCTGTATCTAGCCAAAAAGTCAAAGCGAGAGACAGGAAAATAGAGGCGTTGTTCAAGACGCGAAGAAGGGGGGGAAACATCACCATCATTCATCGTCACCGTGTGGTGCTGGATCCCTCTTCAGGCGTGGCTTGGCTCGCTCTCACTTTCTGCACCCACGACTTGCTGGAGAGGAGGGAAAAAAAAGGTACATCTACCTCGCAGGCTCCCGAGCAATCTTAGCACTTGTCGCTCTCGGCTTTCCCGACCCAGGGAACCTCCCACTCTGCCACCTTCTCTCCACCACTCATCCACCCACTCATTCTCATTCTCACTCTCACTCTCACACAGGCCTCACTCCTGTTTTCACACACCCCTCTCACCTCACTCTTGCTCTCTCATTCAATCACTCTCAGTCTCAACTCTCACACCCCCCTCCCTGGTCATTCACTCCCACTCCCACTCTCTCTCACTCACGATCCCAGCCAAAGGGGACCCCTCCCAAAAGGCCACAAGGTGACAGAGCGCTAAAAGGCACCTCCCATCCGGCTGCCGCTGGCCCTGAGAGCTGAGCTGAAGCGCCCAAGAACTCCCCCCAGGTCTTCCCCCCCAAGTACCCAAATCTCAACATTTCGCCCCGTCGACCCGCGCGAAACTTAAGGTGCCTTACTCGCCCGCACGCTGCCCGGGAACCCGACCTATAATCTCCCTTCTCTGCCCAACTTCCCGCTCTCGGATTATTTCTCTCCAAATCCCACGACAGCCTCTTTCTACCTCATAACCTCACCCTCCTCCTCTTCCTTCTGGTTCCTGCTCCTGTTCCTACTCCTGCTTCTACACCCCATCCTCTGCAGGTGTACAAGACTCCATCCCATCGTGACGATCTTGAAGGACCAGCAACACCACACAAACCCCCACGAAAGACAACACCTATCCGAAGGAGGACGACGACAACATCAACAGCAGGACAGAGCCTGCCTCGCAACCTCACATCAACCGTAGTCATGCTCGACCCGTCAGCGAGCCGGCGATATCAGCCGATGGACTCTTCCACAGTCTACTCCCACTCCCGCACACGCACGACGTCCTCAAATACATTCCCCATTCAGAGCCCGACGCCGATGCACCTACAACAGCAGAATGCCATGAACCCTCAGCAACATACCCGCCGCTCACCATCAGTAAACACCTTCAGCACCTCCTCGAGCATTCCTCCACCCGCCGCCTACCGCACCTCGCCCACCACCGACCTTCGTCGCTCTACCTCCTCTCGCTCCGGCGGCGGCAGCCCCCAGCCGACGGGCTATGTCGCCCTTCTCCGCAAGCAAAAGGCCACCGTCTGGTGCGACCGCGCCCAATATGAGGATCCTCGCCTCTTGGCCCAGCAGCGCGCCGCCAAGATGCGAGCCACCCTCGAGGTCATCGGCGGCCAGCGAACCGCCTCTGGCCTCTCCGCTCCCTCCGGCGGCAGAACGAGTACCGGCATCAGTGCTACTGGCAAGGTTGCCGCCAAGATCCGTCACCACGGGAAGCCCGCAGTAGTGGGCTACGCTCCGGGAGAGCACCACGTTGGCGTCGGCGGCGTTCCCATGCGGCTGAGTGCCACCGAGGTTGAGGGCGAGGACAGCGACGACGACGACGCGCGCTTGCATCACAGACGGACCGGTAGCAGCGGCCGCAGTAGCACTGCGAGCCGTCGTGGCCCGGGTTACCGATCATCCGGCGGCGGACGTAGATGGAGCCCGGGAGATACACCCGAGAGGAGTGGTAGCATGGTCGAGGACGTACCGGAGGACGCCACGCTGGGCGACAACGCGAGTGGCAGGGCCATGACGACGGGCTCAGGGAGCAGTGCTGAGCGGGCGGACAACGTCGGCGAGCTGGGCAACACGGCGGCGGCAAGATTGGCGAGCAACTCGCTCATGCATTCGACCGTCACCCGCGAGAAGAGCGTCAAGGGTGCCGATGACCTACGCAGGAGGGGCAGCGTCGACGAGCGCACCACCACGCTCACCGGAGGCCGTCTTTACATCGCTAACCCCGATTTATGAGAGGCCACGCTGCCCTCGCGGCCCCGTACATACGTGTACGGACAAGCCGCCGACTTTCACAATACGTTACGAGCCCATCGGGATGGGCTTCATTCGCTTTACCACCGCGACGTGAGGAAAATGATTCGACATCTCTCCGACTTTCCTATTCCTTCCTCGTCATCGCCAATCTGTACGAACGTCTCTTTGAGGCATACAAATACGGTCGTTAAGGGGGGTGGGGGTGTTGGGTGAATTTCTTTTACTGTCACAAACTTGCATCACTCGGCGTTTTACTTGGGGATTGTTTTCAATTATGGGTGGGATGATACCATACAGAGACCATCCCGAGATGACACAGTTCGGTAAACCGGATGTGCTGGGGAGAGGGATCGAAATTCGAGTCTCCTTGTCAAAGATTTTCCAACATTGTTTCCGCTCTACGATCGCTTCCTACGGGCCTCTCTACCTTTGTTCCTACCATTTCCTTGGCTCGGACTCTTTTTTTTATTTTCCTAGGCCGCGATGCTCCTCATATGAACAGACCATACTGCGATCTGTTTCCTAATCTGTGGACAAGACATCAAAAGCGAGATAGGAGAGGGGACGGATGTTAGGCAGAAGAAGGGGAAGACAAAACCAAAGACGAATTGGGCAGGGCAAAGGGGGCGGAGGATGATACCACGGTTGAGATTGAAGGCCCTAGTGGAAGCTGTTTGGAATCACGGGCAACGGAGAAGGCGAGAGAGAGAGAGAGAGAGAGAGAGAGACAGAAAGAGAGGCTGAGACAAACAGAGAAGCTCGAAATGCTCGAATATGAAAAGCCATTCCTGGGCATCGCGATTGAACAACCCTTTTTTGCCCGTATTGACCTATACTATCCTATCAAGCTGTGTGTGTGACCTATGGTGCCCAGGAACGTGAATTTCGGGAGAATTGGTTACCGAAAGGTTGACTCAGCCCAGCCAACCGACCTCTGGGGGGGATAGTCAGAGACATTGTCTCCAAGGCTACGTAGCTATAGAGGATCGTCTTGGCTCGTCACGGAGTAAGGGGAACACCTTTCAGCCGACCCAGTAATAATGATATTACCGTAATGCTTCTTCAGCCGCACGCCGTTTTCATTTGCCACATTTTCTTGGGGGGAGGTTTTCGATGAGGGGATGGTTCAGGCTAAGTTTCCAAGCATGGCAATCTGTAGAAAACTCTCTCTTGGAACCAACCCATTCCCGCGTGGTTGGAAATGGGAGACGCCAAACCCCATCCTGCAAGATCCGGGGTTGGGAGGAGGATGTTTGACTCGAGGGGCATGTGGTGAGCCGCTTGCAGTGCTACCTTTTCACTTGGTCTATCCGTACAGAGCTACAGATACACTAAACTATCTACTTTACCGGCCAAACCTGTCATGTGTTCCAAAGATAGTACACTTTTGTAGATCTAACCTCTTCCTTAGCTTTCCCACCTCCCCTTCGGACTTGAGGCCGCCTCTCAGAGTTCAGTCTCGCTACTCCGTACGCTAACTTTTACCGTAGGTTCGTAGGTTAGGTAGCACGGGATTGCCATTGCTACCATACCCATAGGTACCATTTTGGACTATCGCAATGCGCAGGAACTACTGCGACACTGTCAGTTCGTCTTTGACACACATGCAACCTCGTGTTTCGAGGAGGTTCTGACGGTTGACTTGTCCCAACTTTCCGTACGGTTGGCGCCCCCCCTTCATTCTTTGGGTTCGAACGGAGACCCCGTACCCCAAAATGTTGTTTCTCAGGGTCTTTTGGTCTGTGTCTTGTCGATGACATGCATTTCCTGGCTCTCGTGGCTCTCTTCTGTAAACAGTACCAAAGAGTGCCCAAAGCAACACATGGTGGGATACGAGAACTTCTCAAGGCAGTCGATCGCGGACGTCGCCTTCAAGCGCACCCAGCAGCACCCACCCAACATTGATCTTCAAGAGGCAAGTTACATGGCAAGGATGGGCATCAACGCCCAGCACTCGGGAAACGCGGCGCCGCAAGGTCAGCGACTTGAGGAAGTTGAGCGATAGACAGACACACAGAGTACAGGATACGCCTCCTTCTGCAGGCCATCCGTCCCTGGCATGAAGTCCTCGCTTCTGCATCTCGTGCGTCTGCTCATTGCTGGCTTCCTCTGTACCCTCATTGTTTACCTGCATTTTTCGAGCGGGTATCGCTGCGAAAAAAGAACCACCGCCACTTAGCGACAGTCAGGCAGGGATCCTTCCTCGCAGGCGGCAAACAATCATCATCATAAGGGTCCTAGTTGACAGAGGGACCTTACGCGCAGGGCGGGCGGCGTTGTCGATCACTTCGTGTTTTCGCCCACCAAAAAAAGAAGAGCAAGACCCCTAGTTTTTTTTTTTTCTCTCTTCCATTTCCACCTTTCCACCTTTCCTCGGTGATGATTAGGTATCGCTCTTGTCCGTCGACTCCGTCTGCCCCGATTAATAGTGATAGGCAGAGACAGGCACAGGGTTGCGGGGGGGACATCGGGGTGAATGGAGTAAAGATGATGACAGGTGGGAAAGGATAGCCAGAGGGTGGGAAAAAGAGAAATGGCATCATGATGTAACGTTCTGACTTGAGCCAAGACCGATTGACACCGAAAGGCGGGTCTCCCCTTGCTGGTGAGGTGTGGTTGGATGGTTTTCGCCTTTGATCTCCACTGAATGTTTGGCGGCCCTTGTCGACGTCTGTCTCGGTGTGGTGCGAGGAAGATGTCAGACCGAAGCTGCAGACCGAGATCTCACCGAGGAAGAAGTAACCCCGCACTGACCATCCGAGCTGGGGTTCAGCCACATGAGGCTAGTGGGCAGAGACCATCAGCCACAATGCGGCCTTCCTCGTCATCGTGCTGACATAAGCTCCAATCTGACCAAAACGCGTGCAGGTGGGGGCTGCGTTTAAGAGGTTTTGTTAGTGCGCAACTCGCGGGAGCATTGAACGTCGAGTCCATGAACAACCAAAGCAAAGGAAAGATATTAAGACTCCTGTGTCTTTCAGGGCGAATGACGGGTTGTGTAAGAGTCTCTTCTCAGATGGACTATTGTGTTCACTCGAAAATACGTTAGAACTTGCCGGGAGCGTTCTCTTCTACATTGATAGTTGCTTCAGTGGCTCTAAAACTACATACAATTCACACCCGTTTCCCATTTAACAAAGTTTCCCCATAACGCGTCGCCCAATATCCAGTCGCCCGCTATTGGCAGGGCCCAATCTCCCCTTTCTGCACCAAGAAGGAGCCCTGCCACTAATTCAAATGGTAATGGTGCCTACCGGCCCAAAGACACGACCCCCGGCCTCCTCAACGCCAAATTTACGCGTCAGTCGCGTCCCGGCGGAACGTCCCCAACCTTGCCTGTCAACCTCCACAAACGGTCTTTTCCACTTTGCGAGACCGACGACCTGACCTGCCGCCATTGAGCCTGCCATCACGGCCCTTTCCTGAAGCCGAACGACACCTCATTGATTGTTCGAAATACCTGACTGTCGTCTCACCAGCGATTCACTCACCAAGTACGGATACCTCTTCTCTGCCTTGGTTGCGGGATACTCGATCCATTTCAATCTTCCCCACCACACCAACTGCCACGAACACAACTTCAGCCCCATTCTACACTTTACGCGAACACGACCAACCGACGAGCACTGTCGCGAACCTTGCGACACCCGGCGTCCGATGCCTCTATTCGAGCTGTCATCCAACATCAAACGAGAATCAGACATGGAGGCTAGCGGCCTGAAGAGAAGTCACGATGACTTCTCCGGTGACGAGGTCACCATTGAGGATCGTGGCTTGCAGAACGGCGTCAAACATCAGGCCACCGAGGCCGTGGTCCAACCCAGCAAAGGTATGAGCTGCCTAACATGTCCATATTGTGGCCATTATTTTGCTCCGATCATTCTCTAATCTTCGCAGCTGGGTCTCCCGCCCGCCAGATGCCTACCCGCGATATATCGCCAGCCCCCAGTAGCCCAAGCTCACTGACCGATGCCGGCACCCTCACACCAGAGCGCGGCTCGCCCTCACCCGACCTCACACCTATCAAGAGCACGAGTCCCCTCCAGCAAACCACAAGCGCCAATCCCGCTTCATCATCAAAGACACCTACCTCAACAACCCAACCCACCAAACGGAAGCGCCGGACCGCAGCCGAAAAGGAGGCCGAAGAGAAGGAAAAGGCACAGAAGAAGAAGGAGCGTGAAGAAAAGAAAGAAGCCAAACAGGCCGAAAAGGCAAAAGCCGACGCTGAAAGACAAGTCAAACAAGCCGAAAAGGCAAAGGCCGACGCCGAAAAACAAGCTAAACAAGATGAGAAGCGCCGTAAAAAGGAGGAGGAAGAACGCAAAGCGCAACAGGAAAAGGAGAAGAAGGAGCGTGCCCAGCCGAAGCTCATGTCCTTTTTCAAGGCACCCGCCACGCCCAAGAAGGATGCTCTGGTGCCTATCATCAAGTCGGGGAGCCCTTCCAAATCCGCACTTACGCCAGACGCCAAATCTCCCGCAGCCAAGAAGGAGGAGCTATCAGAATATGAGAAGCGGTTCAAGCCGTTCTTTGTGCAAAGCAGTGTTCGCCTGGCCAAGAGCCCCTTCGAGATGGACGGCGAGGCACACGAGGCCAAGACGAGGATCTTGGGAGAGTATTTTGATGGAAAGAGAAAGTCAACCCAAGGGGGCGGCTTTGATCCTATCGAGGTTTTCCAGCTTCCGAATCGTCCTGCTCCGCGAGGCAGAATCTACCCGCCAGTGCGATTCAGCATCGAAAAGATGCGAAAGCTTACACAAGAAGCAAGCAGCGAAGAGGACAAGAAGGCCATTGCAAAGGATATTGCAGATGCGCTGAGGAAGGTCCCTACAAAGTCACTCAAGTTCTATCAGGATGTGCGGCCCCCTTACAGGGGCACCGTCACCCTCAGACCCTATCAAGCAGGCAAATCTGGCATGCGACGCCTCGCCCGAAACCCCATCCGCCGCGACCAACTCCCGGTAAACTATGACCACGACTCGGAAGCCGAATGGGAAAGTGAAGGCGAAGACGTCGACATTGACGATGATGACGACGAGGATCTCGATGCCGACGGCGAAGACATGGACGAGTTCCTCGACGACTCGGAGGACAACGGCCCTGCTCGGTTCGTGAGTGCCAACGGCCTCGAACCGGAGAGCACCGGCCTCTGCTGGGAGGATCGCACACGCAAGGGTCCTAACCGTACCGTGTACGAGCACAGGATGGAATTCATTCTGGGTAAGCCATACCCCGTCTCCCGCTCATGTAGCCGCGTTAACACATGTTTTGAAGAGAGCCTCGAACACCACCATAGCATCGATCCCTTCTCGACGGAATACTGGGAACCCGAACCGAAGCCCAAGCCTGTCGGTCGTCCACCTAAAGACAAGACTGCCAAGGCTCAAGGGATTAAGGACAAGGCGGTCAAGACCCAAGCAGCAAAGGACAAGCCTACCACAGATTCGAAGCCGGCCGATGCCTTCAAAGCAATTACCTGCGGTAGCACAAAGAACAGCGTACAGTCGCTGCCGAAGAAGATCTTGGAGAATAACAATCTCCAGGAGCTCAAGAAGGTCATCGAGGCGAATCCCAAGATCGCCAAGGGTGGCCTGGTCGATCTCTCGTACGTTGCACTTGCTCACGCCAAGATTTCCCGCAACGACCTGAAGGAAGCCATCGCCATGATTGCCGAAAAGGTCGGCGGTAAAGGACTTGCTGGCTCCTGGGCTATCAAGTCAGGTTTCGACGTTTGAGAGAGGAAGCATTGGCATACTGTGAGAATTCGGCGTATGAAAAAAGGGAAGGCGTACTATTCTGATTCGATGAGGATACCTCGGCGGACATGTTTGTTCCCACAGTTTATTGTCCGCCATTGTTCATGTTATTTGGGAGGAGTATGGGCTTCGTTTCTGTTTTTTTTTCTCCAAGGTCTTTGAGATCGTTGTCGGCTGAGGGAAGATACAGGCCGGATGGACGAAGCCCCCAGCATCTTTTACGAGCCACCGACAATAGTGGTGGATTCTATTGCATGTACTACATGCCTTTGCGCCTTTCGGGCGGTTATGATATGATGGCATAAGGGCGGCGTATAGTGGATTATCCCAATTTCTTTCTTTCGGACGGTATTTCGCATGGATGCATAATTGCTCTCTGGGCCACCGGTGGCAGCGGCGTTGGTAGGCTCAGTAGATGGTAGGAAGACACAAGTCTCAACATGCTTATGTCCCTTCGTGTCTTACGCATGAGATTCCCTTCGAGTACTGGTGCCGATTAGTAGTCTATCCGCTTTGATTTGAAGCCACCGCCCAAGCTTCCACAGCCGTCATCCGATAAAGTGCTGCTGAAACGCCTGCTTCCTATGTGAGAGAACTTGATGCTTGTGTTCTATGGTTCATGACCTGACTTTCACAATCTGACTGGTGGGTGTCCAAGTTGTCGGGCCCGGGAAGTCGGCAAGCGGCGAAATTGAAGTAGATTACATCGGTAGTGTCGGGTTGAACAATACGAAAAAGGCTTCTTGAAGTAAGTCAGACGAGAGAGTCAGACGAAGGTTCATTCGGCCGTGTAACATATAGATTGCTGTTGGTGCGATTCAGAACTACGAGTCGCGCACTGCTGGCGGGCTGGCCAGGCGTCGGACCCTGCAACTCGGGTTCATGAAGACGAGACAAGCTTTCTGCGTGAGTGCTTCTCATCTGGGGTACCTGGCTGCGCTGCGCCTACGTTGCCTACTTTGGTCACAGACAACGCTGTTTAATCACCGTGCTCTCCGACTCTCAGGCCGATTATCCGGAGAAGTTCTGCCATTGGGTTCCGGGCACTCCACACGTGTAATTCGTAGGCTATGTTGACTCATGAGTGATGAAGGGAGGCCGCTTGGGTTGGAGTTGTCGCAGCCCGCGGGAACACTGCTCGGGATGAGGGTTCGTCCTATGCTTCTTTGAAGCAGGTGCTTAATCTAACCCAGGGGAAACCTACGCCCACGTCGCGCCAGTGAAAGTTAGTTAGAGGAGTTCATCATAACTCGACAAGATGATGGACTGGAAGACCTTGAATTGCCAAGCATGCCAAGATATATATAAGCCAACATGCGTAGAGCACTCAGATGCAGTAGACAGCAGCTTTCTAACCACGCCTTTCTTTTACAGTAGTTGTCACCATGCAACATCCACTCCTTAGCATCGCATTCCTCGCCTCTCTGGCCTCGGGCTACTGGCTGCCCGAGACACTGGGCAAAGACCAGTTCAAGACCTGCGTCGTCCCCAAGTCCAAAGGCGACGACGCCCCGACCATTCTTTCGACGGTCAAATCATGCGGCAGCAACTCCCGCGTCGTCTTCAGCGCCGGCACGGAATACAGCCTCCTCACTCCGCTAAAGTTCTCCGGCCTCACAAACGTAGAGTTCCAGATCGAGGGCAACCTCACCCTCTCAGACGACCCGGCCGCCGTCTCCGCCGTGGTCAACAACCGCTCCATATACCCTGGCCACTGGATCACCGTCGCCAACAGCAAGGGCGTTACCTTCACAGCCTCTAACGCCCAGGGCGGGGGCTGGATTAACGGCCACGGCGATAAGTGGTGGTCCAGCGCCAACGTCAGCAGCAACAATGGGCGCCCGCACATGTTCTCGTTCGGCGTGACGAGTCTGCGGCTGCGGGGGCTCAAGATCCTTAACCCCGTGGCGTGGTGCTTCTCAATAAGCGGGCAGGATGTCTACATGACCGACACCGTGCTAGACGCGCGGTCCAAGACTGCGTTCCCTTTCAACACGGACGGTATCGACGTTGGCGGCTCCGATATCGTGATTGACGGGTGGACGAGCTGGAACGGCGACGATATCATCAACGTCTCCCCGCCGGCTGTCAATGTGACCATGCGCAATGTCGTCGGATACGGCACGCACGGGATCTCGGTCTCCTGCGCGTCTGGCTCGGGTAGCGGGTACCTGTTTGAGAACGCAGAGATCCACGACTCGCTGTTGGGAGCTCGCTTCAAGGGCTCCGTGGGTACGACGTGCCAGATTTCGGATGTTACCTGGCGCAACTTTACAATCACCAACACTGCTTACCCCATTCACTTCATCGAGGACTATGTCGATCAAGAAAAGGGCGCTGCCGGGAAGGACGCTTCGCTGGCTGCGTTTGCCAAGAACTTCCGCTGGGAGAACATCAAGGCGCATACTGGCTCGGGTCTCAAGGATGGCAGCTGTACTTCCAGCCCATGCTGGAGTCAAAGTCTGGGTGAGTTCTAAACGATCGAACTATACCTTGCTAGATGATACATGTACGAGAGGATACTAACATGTTACTTTGATTTTCAGGCGCCTCAACCAAGAAGGGCTTGTACCTTATGTGCAAAGACGCGGCTCATTGTCAGGACTTCACCTTCAAGGACATCACCCTCGTCGCAGCTGTAAGTCTTCACAGGTGGCACCTATGATGAAAGGATTAGTCTTGCTAATAGCATATAGGATGGCAGCGCAGGTGAGATGGAGTGTGTTGGACTGGAGGGAGCCACAGGCCTCGGCATCCCATGCACGAATGGCACTTTGGCCGGAGGCAAATAGAAGAGATCTGACACGATAATTGAAGGCGCAGAGCCTTGAGTTCCTTTAAGCAAATAAACCAATGTAATCCAAATCAACAGGACCACAGAGATTCCAGCATCGTGGCGCGAGCATACACTCATGAACTCACAAGGGTGACTTCGTGTTTTTTTGAGCCTCTTTATTAGTCTTGTCAAAATCACTTTCCATCTCCCAATCCCACCTACCCCTGATTCTTGTAGGTATACGAAGAGAGGGGACTATGTGGAGAAGCTCCATCAATGGTCGAAGTAAGCATTAGGAGATGATCCACGCAGTCATGTCTTGACATGTCGTCGAATTGAAAAGATTCCGCGCCATTGACCTTAGACCATAGGTAGGAGTGTGAATGGAGGACTGGGAGAGCGATCGATGTTCTGATGGAGCGGTAGAAAGTATGTGACTTTGCTAGCCCAGAGATACTTTAGTAGAGATAATCAACCCTCCCTCACCACAATGTACCAGCTCATACTGTGCGAAATGATATTTCAGCCATGCTTGCAAATATAAGATAAATGAAATCCTCGTGTGGAACAGCAGAGCTTCAATTGCCGGACTCCTCTTAGCATAGCTTCGGGCTCTTCCCAAGGCAATGCTCAAGTAGAATGAGCAAACACCGAACATGACGAAAACATACAACATATGGCCAACTATAATCAATTACTGCCTACACTCAATAATACCACGAACCCCATCACAGCTTAGACTTTTCAACCCTCTGCCCATCAGCCCTCCCCGGCGCCGGATCCTTCTTCGTAACCTCAGCCTTGAGACTAACAGGATCTCCCAGCTGCGACGGGTTCCCGCTCTCGAGGTCCTCTTTGGCAACGTCCTTTAACCGTCTCTTGTCATAGTCCTGCACGGGTGACCCGTCCGAGTTCTTGGCACCTGCGGGACCACCGCTGCCCTTGGACTGCTTATTGGAAGAGGAAAAGGGAGGTTTCGAATCCGCTGCCGCGCCGAGGTCCCCTTCCGTCGGCGAGAGCTTCGAGACTTCGGCTTTGAGCGAGACGGGGTCGCCTAGTTGCGACGGGTTGGAAGAGTTCGCCTTTGCGGCGACGTGTTTGAGGCGCTCGAGTTGTTTTTGCTGTTGGTGAGGTGGTGTTAGTTAAGATCTTGAGCGTAGATCAAGCGCAAAGTTGGGTTGTGTGCTTGAGAGTGAGCAACTTACGGGAGCCATTGTGTCTGATTCTGAAATCTACTTGTTTCTATCGATAAGCAGAAATATTGATGTATAGCAATAGGGAAACGAGCTCCATTTTAAACTAACTCTCCTACCAGCAGACGAAGGCCGTTGCAGAATGATAGAATGCCAGCCATGGCGTCGCGCGGTCTTTGACGCCTTCATCTTTGATGACGTGTATGACTTACCAGCCGAGGGCCACAGCGTGGGACACAAACCACACCTACAGCACTTACCACCTTACAATGATTACCACGCGGATGGTCCCGTCATAGGTAATAAGTAAAACAAGCCTCATCGGATCTCCCAATTGCGGAGAAATGATCTCAGATTGTTTGGTAGTTAACGGGAGTTGAAGACATGTGACGACGAGCTAGTGAATTGGACGATCTATCCGTACTGCGGTAGACTTACATGAGTTCCTCGTGCATTTCATCTGCTTCACAACACACGTGCAATTCCACCTTGACGAAGTAACATCTTCAAGAAAAGAGATATATATACTATTCTAATCGTGGTATCTGCGGGTGCTCTTCAAGATGCACTGGATGCTAATTACGCTAATCTCCTAAAAATACAACAATACTACTCTCGTGATGCATTCAACCATCGGACCCCGTGTGATTTATACAACTCGTCACCCCGAACCGAGGTCTCCTTCTCTCCCTCGTCATCGCTCACAAGCGCACACGAAGTCATGACCTTGCCGCAATCTGCGCCGCGCTCGCAACAGCCTGAAGCGGCTCCAACTCATCCTCCATGTCGCGATCCGTCTGCTCCACCCCCGCAACCTGCGCATTCACCCCCGACCCGCTACCTCCACCATTCGTCGCTGTCGTAGCAGTAGCCGCCGTCGAGCCGTCCGCCGGTGGTGGCGCCTCCTCCTCTTCTTCGTCAGGCTGGCCCATGCCAATGACGTCGATCCAGTTCCAGTACTGCACTTTGCCCTCGCACCGCTCAAAGATGACTTTATCGTCCATGACACCGTCATCAGGCCCGTTGTCACCGTCCTCGTCGGTCGAGATACCCAGCTTCCCGGACCCCGTCCCGTCAACGAGGTCACCTATCCACGTCCGCGCCACGGGGACGCCATTTGCGCGCATGAGCTGCAGCTGCGCGCGCAGGTTCAGGCGCAGGGCGCGCTCCGGCTCCTCCGAGTTGAAGATCTTTTTGGTGAGCCAGGGGAAGAGGATACCGAAGTCGGATTGGGATAGATGCGCAGAGGAGCGGACGTAAAAGAAGTTTGGCTCGGGCAGGCTGACGCCGCTGCGGCGGAAGATTTGTGGCGTGATCACTGACGCCGAGGGTTGCGGAGAGAGGACGCGGGCGGTGACGTGGAGGTGGTCTGTCCATTTGTAGAATGCGTCGGACTCGACGGCGAGGATGGCGTTGCCGCCTGGCGCGGTGGACGTGTTTGCGTAGGCTGGGAGAGGCAGGTTGAAGAGGTCTGCGGAGCCGGGGGCGAGCAGCGGGAAGCACCACATGTCGAGGAGCATGGTGACGTTCTTTGGCGTGATTTGTTTGCACAGGGACGAGTCCGGTCGCGGTGTAAATAAGGGCTTCTGTACGTGTGCGAGGGCGGACGACTCGGCGTAGTAGGTCGTCTTGAGGAGCTGGACAATGGAGGCGGAGCCGAAGCTGTGGCCTCCGAAAATGATGCAGCCCGGCTCATGGACGTGGAGCTTGTTCTTGAACTGGGTCAAGCTGGGTGTCGACTTGTTGAGGTTGGACATTGCGAGGCCGAGGTCCATGTTGAGGGTGACCATATGGATCATGCCGAGCTCCCAGAGACGGATGCGTAGCTGGTCTTCACGGGCTTCGTAGATTTCGGGGCGGGCGTCATGGTCTATGCGGACGTAGGGGATCACGCGGCGGGTGTCGCGCATGAAGTACTGATCTTGTTTGCCGGGGATGCGGACAAAGGAGGCCACGGCGCTGCCGTCGCGGTGTTCGGGGCAGATGACGACGATGCCGTGGGAGGCGAGGGAGCCTGCCAGGTGGGAATATGTGTTTCGGTTGCCGCCGAGGCCGTGGGAGAAGATCATTGTCGGCCATCGTCGGTTCGGGGTGTCTGGGTCGAGGATCTCGGCGTTCTTGTGGACGGGAATGGTGGTGTAGTGCAGATGTCGCGGGAGGAATCTGTGGATTTACGTTAGTACAGCACCTTTTGCGCAGGTACTAGAGGAGTGTTCGAGGAAGAGGGGGCACCTACGAGACAATGTCTGCGAGCATGGGACGGATGCCAATGAACTGGGTGTACGCAGAGACATGTTGTCGTTGGGGCGAAGGCAACCAGTTGATGCGCTTGCCGTTGGATTCGGGAACCGCGGGGTAGAAGACGCGGCACTGGACGGTGTGGATGTCTGTTGCGCTGTAGGGGGTCGGACTGGGCGACTCCAACTCGGAGACGGGGATCTCAATGTCGACGGTGCCGACCTTGTGCGGGCCGGTGTAGTCGGGGAAGGACGGCACGGGGCTCATGCGGGAGAAGAAGGACGCGACCTTTTCGGCGGCTGTCGGGGGCGCTTGCGCGGCGGGCGACATGGCTGCTGCGGTGTCGTCTGTCTGTTTGTCTGTCTGTCTGGGTGTTACTTTTCGAGATGCGACTGTCGCTATGGTGATTGCTTTGCGTTGTGTTGCACTCTGCGCGTTGAGCTGTCGGTCTGAGGTGTGGGCGAACGCAAGGGATAAATCGAAGCGCAAGCCGACGTTGGGAGGAATTAGGACGCAGGGAAGAGGGAAAAAAAAACACGGGATCGAGTCCGGGGGTATTCGCAATTAGGTAAAGAACCAAGGTATTCGTAAGTATGGGATTGCGCCGGCAGGGTGAGTGGTTCGTTCAAGGGTTGAAAGAGAAGAGAGTTTCACGTTGAGTCCGAAAAGTTGTTGCTGGTCCTGTGTTCCTGTGTTGCTGTGTGCCCTCTTGCAAGCTCTTACAAGCTTTTTGCGGTCGGATATGCGTGTGTCGCGATGGTGTTTTAAACCAATGTTTCCGTCGATGCAAGTTGGTCCCGTCTTTCAATGCGGTGATCAATGCAAGCCGTCGTCAGCTGAGGTGCTCAGATGTATCCGTCTAGACCGTTGACAGCGTGTACGAATAGCAGGCCAATAACAGGGGTATTATAATAGGGGTGGGAACCGGCGTCTTCTTTATGGATCGATCGAGATGGGATTGCTGTAGCCCGTACTTCGTCGGAAACAGATGAAGCTTCGGCAATATCCGGCGGGAGCTTGTCTAGCACTGATGTATTCCGTCGTGTATTGAGTTTTTTTGCAGCTAAGCAAGCTCTAGAGGATGTATCTGTAACGAGGCGACGAAGAAAAAGGTTGGAAGTTGTGGCCGTGACAGCTGAAGGATTAAAAGTCAAGTAATGTGGATGAGTGGGAGCAGGGCGAATTAGTCGACAGAAGCGCAGTGTCCCGATGGGATTTCGAAACCCGATGACAATTAGCTCGGAGCAGTGTTCCCTGTTGGCAGCCAGCCTCACTCCAAAGTCGACAAGGTACTTGGTAAGCTGGTCCTCCAAAACTTGTCTGTTGTTGATTTCAATGCCGTAATGTTCCTTGCAGAAGAGTTGGAAAAAGTCATTTCAACTTCCAAGGTAAGTGGAAGCCAACAAGTCAAGACAGCGGACAGACCTCCTTTTGAACATGAGAGACGGCACGAACACCACTTCCGTTGAACCTCTAGGAAGAGGCTAGTGGAGAGAGGCAACTAGCAAAGCAGAGAAACCCGACAAAAAGGCTGCTTTCGTCTCTCTGGAACCAATCACGCACTCTGGACCGAGATGGTCTTGTGGCCACTTGCCCGAGGAGGAAACGTCATCCATCTATTCGTACTTTAGCTAAGGTACGGATACCACAGGCGTACCGGTAGGTGTTGAGTCGTGCGAGCTGGAGCTTTGTGCGCCAGAAATTTCTTGCCTCGGTCAGCCAAAACGGCTTAGCAGACAGAAATGAGGCGAAGCTGGGGAAAAGCTCTGGCGTTGGTTCATCGCGTTGCTGCTCTGTGTGTACTGTGTAGTGCGTACTCTGTGGACGAAGCTTCTTCCCACTTGCGGCCATCCCGAGACCGAGATGATCAAGGCACGTACAAGTAGGAACGAGTGGGACGTGAGCAACGGCGGTTCCGGCTCCTTTTCCCGCAGAGTCTACGGAGTATGTATCCATCCATCGAATGAAGAATATTGCTTGGCGGTGCTCTAGTTGCCATTCGTGATTGACGTGTTGTGGCGTGTGTGGTTCCTTTTGGGGCGGCGCATGAACGTTGGGTTCTTATTAATCTCGGTCAGGTATTACTCTCAAGCTTCTTAGGCGCGCATAGACTCGCTGGATTTAAACGTCTCGTCGATCAAAAGTCGCCAACGTCTTATCGCTATCTCGATCGCGATCAGTTTGGGGTTCCCATTCCCAAAAAAAAAATGCGACCACCTTAAGGCTCCATCATGGCGGGGAACAGGGAGGTTCCTTGGTTCTCGAGGTGCGTGATGGACGGCCGAAGCAGCCCAGACTCTTTTGAAGACTTGGCATGGTGAATTTGGTCTGTATCAATCGCATTCTCGAACTAGTGGTCCTCTCCATTGTCGAATTGAATTGGTCGGTGGTCCATTCATTCGAACAAAGTGGATTGTCAGTAACTGTGAAAGACGAGAAAAAGAGAGAAAGCGAAGGTGACAGGGAACCAACGTCATCGTCGGCCCCTGCAGCCTCCGACCCTCCGACCCGCCCCCCTCTGTGTACGTACCTAGGGCATTGGTCTCATGGGCTCCTCGCTTCGGTCCGGATGAGGACCCACTCAGCCCCGTCGAATTTTTTTTTCTTTTTCGGCTCTGCCCCGCCACCGCCAGTCGGCGGCTTCTTCTCTCTACGCGGGCACTCAAGGTCCAGTACACAAACGGGCACCACTCCAAAACACCAGGAACAATTCTTGAATCCTGATTCGAGGCCCCCCAGCATCCAAGATCACCTGATCATCATACGGAAGGGTGGCCGAGTTGGTTATGGCGCCAGGTTAAGGTCAGCTTAACATCTGTTTCCTGGTGGGGCAACCCGCGCGAGTTCGAGTCTCGTCCCTTTCATTTTTGGATTTTTGGATTTTTGACCTTCTAGCATGGTCTATATAAGTCATTTTTAATACAAGAATGGTTTCGGCCAGTGACCATCAGTAAGGTGTGCCAGTACGATCATCCTATGGAGTTCAAGGCGTACGTGGACGGATATCTCGTAGGCATTCTCAAACAGCTCTACGATCCTCCCCAATCACCAAGACAGACTTGCCACTACCCACCTCCGCCTCAACTTCAATCTCAACAAGCACCTCATCCCCAATCAGCCCAGCCGTGACCGTAGTATTAGCCGGCCGAATCCCATGACACTTGAAAGCCCATCCATGGGCCTCTGATACCTCCAAAACGTCCTCTTCTCGCTGAAGCATCACCCTCGTCCGCACCACATCCGCCATGCTTCCCCCCAACCTCTCAAGACTCCCCTCGATAATGTCCAGTGCAGCAACCGCCTGAGCCCGAGCAGAAACTCCTCCAACCACGGCAGCAAGCCCAGGCTGGAGCTCAGGTGGCGGGTTCGCCGTCGTCCCAGACACTCGTATCACACTCCCAAATCTCACGGCACGCGAGTACCCAGCAACGGGCTCCCACTTCCCGCCAGAGCGGAATTCAACCTTCTCCCCCCTAGCAATAGCCTTTTCCACCTCGTCCAACTCGCTCTTCCCCGAAAGGTGATGATGGCTCAAGTCCCCCGAAGCCGTCAAGAACGGCGGTCTCCTGTACTCGTCGCCGCAATCCCCCGGTATATCCTCCAACCCTTCCTGCGCAGCCTCAATCTTTCTCCTGTCTTCTTCATCCAGCGAGAAACCAAACACCGCGAGGTTCGCCTCGGCGTACTTCCCGCTCTCGGAAGTCAACCTCGCCCCAATGATGACTGCTTTTACGACAGGTATATCAAGCACCCAACTCACCGCCACCGCCGCAACAGAAACGTCATGCTTCTTAGCAACATCAGCAACGGCACCCAAAACACGCTGAAAGGCGTCCCAGCCACCCGCGGCGTGTATGAAGCGGAGGTACTTTCGCAGACTCCAATTCATCCCCTCCCCGTCATCCTTAGGCTCCGGCTTGCCAACCCACTTCTCACTCAGAAAGCCTCCAAGTAATGTCCCATACGTCAAGACACCAACCCCGTGCCGCTCACATGCCCTCGCCATCCGGCCCCTCGTCAGCCGGCGATCAATAACGGAGCACGAGACCTGGTTCGTGGCGATTTCGTAGCCAGAGTAAAGAAGCAGCTCCAAATGCGCCGCGTCGACATTGGTAAGTCCTATATGTGCAATTTTCCCCTGTTGTTGCAGAGTGCGCAGGTGAGATAGGTTGTAGAGGTACGTGTCGTCGGTGTAATCCCAAACGTGGTACTGCATCAGCGCGATCTGCTTCTGGCCCATTCTTTCGAGAGCGAGGTCGACTGCTGCCTCTGCTGTCTTGAAGGACTTGTCACCGGTCTCGGCGGGACACCATTTTGTAAAGGCTGTGACGGGGGCGTGGGAGGGTGAAGTATGGTTACGGTGGCCGATGACGAGCTCTGCGGGGCCGTAGTGGTCTGCCATGTCGAAGCCATCGAGTCCAGCTTGGATTCTGCCAAGGATGTCAGTAAGCTTATCCGCTAATGAAATCTGGGAAGCTGCAATAAATTCTCTAGTACAAGGGCTTCATCGCGTCTGCTGCTGCCGCGACGTTAACATCCTGGTCATGCCCGCCGGCGAGTTGCCAGAGGCCGTTGAGGATGCGGGGTATCTCGATGGACCCCGCGATGGTCGTCCGCTCGACTTTTGGCAGCGATTTTGCAGTCATTTTCGTTAGGATCTGTGGCGTACGGATTTAGTTAGGAAGTTGACACAAAAGTATGGTGAGATGAAGTGTTGACATGTTTGAACCAGTCTCAAGGTGAGGGGAAGTTGTTGCTTAACAATAAAGTCTGCCCAACTCTGGCCCCCAAGACGTTTTCATATCACATCTCAAATTCACGACTGTGAGTAAAGTTTAATCAACAATTCTATTGTCAATATCGTATACAGCATCATCTCAAATCCCGTATCTTCTAATGCCCTAGAACTATTCTCCTCCGGTCATAAGTTACAGAACTGAGAGCTGAGCTGAGCTTCACTTCAAGTAATTGCGATCATATCTCTCCGGAAATTGTCCAATGATGTCAGCCAGCACCTGAACCGCCGTATATCTGGACTGTGAATAACAAAGTCAGTCAAGATCATATGACTAGCGTTCCTCCCTGAGTGAGGACTTACGCTGGTTCGGCACTGGGAAATGGCCATGCCGGCAAAGTAGAGATTCGAATCTGTTCAAACTCAAGTTAGCATCACGATACCCAAACACCAACACAAGAATAGAGAGCAAATATACTCACGCCCAGAAAATGTCGTAAGCCCAGGAACCTCCCCCTCCTCATCCACCCCAAAAGCACTCACATTCACCAACTTGCCCGCCGTCTCCTCATCAACGAACCCGCTCCCCTTCCACCTGGCAGGCAAATCCACAACCTCATACCCAGTCGCCAGCACCACCCCGTCCGCCTCAACAACCCTCTCGTTCCCCGTCTCCCTATCCCTCACCACGACACCCTCCTCCACGAACCCAACAGCATCGCCCCTCGCAATCTGAATCCGCCCGCCAAACACGAGATCAAACGTCCCCGGCTGATCAACATAGAACGAGCTGCCTCGCTCCTCAAACACCTTGGTCATCAGACACGTATCCCGCTCAACAGCGTACCCCAGCCCCTCGAGCGCCAGACTCCTATCCTCCGCCCTCGCGATCGCCATCCCGATCGCCCCGCGCGCCATGTCCCGCATCATCCCGACCGGCAGCGACTCCTGCAGGAAATCCGCCGTGTCGACGGGTATGTCGCCCTGGTACCGTATCATGAGGATCGGCGCCACCGTCGCGAAGTCGAGGAGCACCGTCGGGCTGCGCTGGAGGATCGTCACGCTCTTGACGTCCGGGTCTGAGGCTAGGTTGCCAGCGACGTCGTGCGCAGAGTTGCCTACCCCGACTATAAGGACGCGTTTGCCCTTGTAGTCTGTCGGGTTGCGGTACTCTGCCGTATGCTGCACCGGTCCCGTGAAGAGTTCCCTGCCTTTTAGCTTCGGGACGCGGGGGTTATCGTTGCCGACGAGAAAGCCGTTGGCGAGGAGTATATTCTTCGCCTTGAGCTTCATTTCCTTCCCCGTCTTCACGTCCTTGAGCTGCACCGTCCAGATCTTCTCTGCCTCGCTCCAGGTGTTTTTCAAAACGGCAACCCCGCCGAAGAAAGGCAGCCCTAGCTCCTCAACCGCTGAAGAAAAGTACCGCGTGAGATCCGTACCCTTGAGATACTTGGGATACCCCTCGGGCACCGGGAACCGCGGCAGCTGAATCATGAAAGCCGGGTGGTGAAGTGTGACGTTCTCGTAGCGTTTCGTGGACCAGTTCCCGCCAGCCTGCGGCTCAGCGTCGAATACGGCTACGTTGGCGCCCGCGGCGTCGAGCTGGATTGCGTTGGCGATGCCGGTGCAGCTGCCGCCTACGATAATGGCGTCCAAGACTGCGTTGCCGCCGAGGCGGGGGAGACCTTGTGCATGGGGGTTGCCGCGCTGAGAGGGTTCGATGAGGGATGGGCTTGTTCGCGGGAGAGTACCAAACGGTTTCTCGTCGAGTTCGACTACGGCTGTCGTCAGGACGCAGATCTGCCAGCCTTTGGTATCCGGCCCGGGGATGAGTTTGGCGAGGCCGATGCATTTCGACGCCGGAGCTTCGGTGCGGAAAGTAAACGGCACGTCTAGCGTTGCGAACACGGGGCCAAGACGTGCCCATACGGCGTCCATATCCATGTCTTCATCCTTGTCACTGGAGAAGGCCGAGGGACGACGCGTCTTGGAGAGAGTCTTCCACGCTGCGACGACATCGTCCCTTGTATGGATCGTTCGCTTGTCAAAGGTGAGAGTCAAGTGGTCTCTCCAGAAGCACTTTTCGGCAAAGAGCTTTCCAAAGGCGTCCCAGTCGCCCTCGCGGATGGCGGAGGAGAAGCTGTTGAGGAAGGAAGCTGCTTCCTTTGCGGCGTTGATGTTTTCTTCGCCGTCGAGGGGAGGGACTGTGGGGATGTGGGAGGGGAGAGTGCGGACTGGGACGCGGGTTCGCTGCTTTGTCTTTGTCGTCATTGCTGCTAAGGAATATTTTGCAAGTCTGAAAATGTGTAAGTTTGTATAGTGAGTAGGCAGGCTTAATTTGTGGTTGAGACTCGTGTAAGTCTGTCTTCGGATTCTTCAAGAGCGGGAGATGGAAGCACCTTTTATCGTTTCTCAGCAAGACATAGAGTCCAGGGAACTATGCCCTCACAGTTGTCATGCCATCCAAAGCTTTCTGAAGTAAGACTTCCATGATGAGGAACCGAGGGGTGTTGTGGTCGTCAGATTGGAGAACAGACAAAGCCACGGGCGTTTGGTGGCTTCCTCTTACATGTCGATCCCCTCCATACGGAAATATCGGAGGTATCACAAGAATCTTACACGCAGCGGCCCTGCGAGCCATTAGCGTGGCGGGGAAATGGGGTTGGTGGTTCGAAGCTCCTACGGGTTGCCCGATTCGGAAACAGGGACGTATCATGTTTGAATTTGGTATTTGTGTGTACCTTTTCCAAGGTAGGGTGTGTAAGAGATGACTGCCGCTGGCATAGTCTAGGTAGATGGACGCCAAGCGCTCATCATCCATGGCCGTGGAAAGACTTCTAGAAAGAAAGTCGTGAGGGATCGGGACCGTCCTGGAATACGAGTGCGGGTTAGCGCAAGTGAATGAACGGTAACGCTGCAGGGGGCCGATCCGGAGATATCCACAAGCCCCGCTCCGCCGCCCGGCCTCCGGTGCCCCCGCCCGCATTTCTCAGTGCGATTGAGCCAATCGCCTCCAACACCTTTCCTTGGCTCGTATTGCCGTCCGAGTCTGTGGTGCCGGGCCGGATTCTCAAAGTCCCTCCTGATGCCCACAGCTCTACGCACCACCATTCACGCAATACACCTTGTAAGATGAGGACGGGAACAACCGGTAACTCGAATGGAGATAACATCCAGGTACTTTACCTTACTAAAGGATGTCCTTTGTCATCAGATAGTACCTCATAGGATAGCGGCATCATTCCTGTAGTATCAAAGTTAACACGCTGCTCGGATACTATTTTGCCTCCACCTTAGATGGTGGCCTTCGTCTAGTCAGGTGCGGACTTAACATGGAGGAACCGTGAGTGACAAGAAGGCAAGTAAGAGATTTCGGAAGATGAATAATACATCGATCTGCCTTGCGTTTGCTAATTTCAGGAGTAGTATTGTGTGTCTACATATGACCAATTGCTTAAATCACCACGGTTGAGGCCACGGTGCTAGATGTGAGCGATGGCAAACAGCTGTTGGTATAATTCACCTTCAATTATGGCAAGCTAAAGAAAGCATGTCAATTCAAGTGCTATATGAGTACTAAACTGTTCAATTCAAATTGTATTCTCGTACTGATTATTCTTAAAGGGTTGATTTTCTTCGATAATAAGGTACTTTGACTAATGGCCTCAACGTGAGGTCTTGTAGCTTTATCAGCCGTGGCCAGCCAGGTACTCACTTAACGAGACTTGAAAACATTGCATGTTGCTTTAGTAAGGTGGGAGTATTAACTTCAATCAAGGTTGATCACAGTTGTCCACCTTGAGGCACTGCGTTTACTAAGTAGGCCCATCACCTTGGGAACTTGAACTCAAATGACGCCATTGTAAGCCAAATTGCGCAGATTCACTATCGTGACTTAGCTAAGCATCTTACCTCAGCAGCGGTGCAGTGACCTGCTTAAACTGGCCAAGCTCTGCCCCATGCCCCCCTCATTGGGCCCCATGGCAACGGATTCAACGCTGTGCGATAAGCACCTCTTTTGTCTGCTTAGGTAAGATATGAGAAGGCGATAAGACAACGACCCCAGACATGTCGGCCCGTATCGGCGTAGGCTCATTCGCCGGAGCCAATCGAAGCTTCCGGCGGGTCGCAGATCCGCTCGGTTCCAGCTGCCCCGTGCCTCTTCGTTCCTGCGCCTGCCATGTTGTGCCTGTGACCGACTCGGACGGGAAGCTCCAGCTGAGGTGTCTTCAACCGCCAACCTCTACGATTCCCACTCCGCCTCTTCCTACCTTGTCACCTTGTTTGTCTGACCTTGACTCTTCTACTCTCTTCTCTACGACATCCACCGCGCATTTATCCTCCACAGCATCGCGCAACCTTACCCATTCCAATTCTCAGGCAGCGCGCATCGCATTGAGGGTCAATGAACCGCTTCCTCATCTCCAACTCAAACACCACCGTTCAAGCAACCCACCCCCTCGACGCCTCGCCCGCCATGACCAAACACACTCCCGACTCCCTTCGCTCCCGCGTCTCTTCCCTCTCTCTCCGCCTTCAGGCAATGGAGCACGCCGAAGCTCTCTCGCGCTCTCAATCCCCCGCGCCCTCCATGTCCGCCTCCACCACCGCCGCCGCCGCCCCGGGCCCGGCCTCGAAGCACTTCCTCCTCGCCGACATGAACGGCCGCCCAGCCTCCCAGAACCCCGTCTGCGAGTCCTGCTGGAATACCCTCCGCTACAGCGAGGTCCGCCAGACCGTTCGCGCCGCCAACCCGGCCGCCTGCAAGCTCTGCGCCGTTGCCGCCAGTAAACCAGAGGCCTACACCCAGCCCTTTGTCGACTTCCTGTCTGAGAACCCCACAATCTTCCACGCCGTCTCCTACTTCAAGGACAAGCTCGCTGCCGCAGGATATACTGAGCTTCCCGCCCGCGAAAGCTGGACCTCCAAGGTCCAGCCCGGAGGCAAATACTGGACCACCCGCAATGGTTCTGCTCTTATCGCCTTCTCCGTCGGCGAGTCCTACAAGCCCGGCAACGGTGTCGCCATGATCGCCGGCCACATCGACGCCCTCACCGCCAAGCTCAAGCCTGTCAGCTCCAAGCCCACCCGTGCCGGATACCATCAGCTCGGCGTCGCCCCCTACGCTGGTGCCCTCAACCAGACCTGGTGGGACCGAGACCTCTCCATCGGTGGCCGTGTTATCGTCCGCGATCCCGAGACCAACAAGACGTCTACCAAGCTCGTCCGCCTCGACTGGCCCATCGCCCGCATCCCCACCCTCGCACCCCACTTCGGCGTCGGCATGATGGGCCAAAACAACCCGGAGACCCAGGCCGTCCCCATTATCGGCCTCGACTCTTCAGACCCGGACGCCGCCTCCGCCACCCCTGTCGAACCCCTCGGCCCCAAGGGCGCCTTCGTCAACACCCAGCCCCCCAAGCTCGTCAAGCTCGTCTCCAAGGAGCTTGGCCTCGCCTCCCCTACCGAAATCGTGAACTGGGAACTCGAACTCTACGACTCCCAGCCCGCGCAGACGGGTGGTCTCGACCGCGAATTCATCTTTGGCGGCCGCATCGACGACAAGGTTTGCTCCTGGGCCGCCCTCACCGGTCTCCTCGCAGCCGACTCGGACCCCAAAGACGGCATAATCAAGCTCGTGGCCCTCTTCGACGACGAGGAAATCGGATCCCTCCTCCGCCAGGGCGCCCGAGGCAACTTCCTCCCCCTCACCATCGAGCGCGCCGTCGAGGCCCTGAGCGAACATGCCGACGTCGCTTTCGGTTCAAACGTCATTGGCCAGACCTTTGCCTCCTCCTTCCTCCTGTCTGCGGACGTAACCCACGCAGGAAACCCCAACTTCCTGGGTCTGTACCTGGACGAGCACATCCCCAAGCTCAACGTTGGTATCGCCATCTGCGGCGACAGCAACGGCCACATGACCACCGACGCCGTCTCCACGGCCATCCTACAGCGTGTTGGCGAGCTGAGCGGGTCCGCGACGCAGACGTTCCAGATCCGCAACGATACCCGCAGCGGTGGCACTGTTGGACCCATGCTCAGCTCCGCCATGGGTGTTAGGGCTGCGGATGCGGGATTGCCGCAGTTGAGCATGCACTCCATCCGCGCCACGACGGGTGCGCTGGACCCTGGTTTGGGCGTCAAGTTCTTCAAGGGGTTCTTGGATCTCTTTGAGAAGGTTGACGCGGAGTGGCAGTAATTGTTCATGGGTAAACCAAGATGGCACGGAGTAGAGGTGAACGTATATAAGTACTCTAGATATTTGGTAGGCGAGGAGTAGGAGTGAGGTTGTTCAAGCGCGGCGTACTGCGTGGGTGTCACCGTAGAGAAGCACGAAGTTACGATTGCTTGTAGATTTATACAATATGTACCAGCACAAATTAGACGCATCATTTTGGTTACGTTCCAAGTCAATATTCACGCAACCACTTCTTAAGACAGTGTTTGTTCTTCCCATTGTTCAAACAAGAATGCTAATGCGAATTAATAATGCTCCAATGTCTGCTCATTAGTCGTAAGCAGACCCTACGCCGAGACCCTACACCAACTCCTAATTATGATGAATCGACCGTCCCCCACGATCACGCACAAGACCATTCACCTGCCTTATCTCCATCGAATCCGCCTCCGACCCACCAGACCGGATCCCTTCCTCGTCGTCGTCAGAAGCAGACCCCTCGTCGTCGTCATCGCTCGCCATCCCGCCCGCCTCTTCCAGCTGCTCCGTCTCCGCGTCGACGGGTTTCCTTCTCTTTTCGAAGTCCTGCCTGTGCGCCTCAGCGATGATTTTGGAGAAGCTGCGCTGGATGGGCGTGATGCCGGACATGACTCTCTGTCTGAGGGTGCCGGATTCCTCGGCGCGGGGGTCGGATGACGCCGCTGGTCTGGCGGTGGTCGTTGCGGATGTGGTAGTAGGGCCGCCGCCGGTAGAAGCAGCGGATGCTACTGCGGCCTCGCTGGTCGTTTCTTCTGGTACCTTGCCATCTTTACCAGCGTCACTTTCAATCGAAGACCGAGGCGCGACGAGGGGTTCGATGCGATACGGGAGGGGGACGTCGCGGGAGGCCTTGTATTGCGCGACGTTGGCGCAGTGTTCGTTTTCGACGCGGAAGAGAGTCCACATGCCGCGGCGGGAGACCTCGGCCAGGGCGACGAGGAAGGAGACGATGGTGGAGTGCTGTGTGTCGTGGGTGAAGATTGCGTAAAAGATCCAGGCGAAGCGGAGGATTGGGTCGGTGACCATGATGAAGTAGTAGGGCCAGCGTTTCTTGAGGGCCGTGATGTCGCGGAGGAGCCAGTGCCGGGATTGGGGTTGAAGGAGGGAGAAGTCCATGAAGAGGTCCCAGATTGCTGGGATTGGGTCAGTATTCCACTGGTAATGGGATGATGAAAAGGAGGGCTTACATGTGTAGATTGCGTTGATGGAGGAAAAGGTGATGAACATTGCGAGGTTGCCGTGGGTGTTGTTGATGCGGTACATGGAGAGGGAGACGGCGGCCATGATCGACATTGTGTACTTGCCGCCGTTGACGAGGTGAGGGAAGATGTTCCTCGTGTCCTTGTAACGACGCAGACATTGTAGGAAACGCCAGATGGGAGGCAGGGCGCCTAGGAAGCCGAGCAGTCGGGAGTGGCTGGAGTTACACTGGGCCGGGTTCTCCCAAGCGTTGGCGTATATACAGAAGAACAGTTCGACGTTCTGATAAAAGGTCAGTCGAGAATATCAAGGGGGAACAGAGGAATAAAAACTTACACACATGGCGTACGTCAAGGAACAGTAAATATCGCCGAGGAAGAAGTCTCGGAACTCGACTGGGTACAGACCAGCCAGCAATAGGCGCCACTACGTATATGATTAGATTATACCTGTAGCAGAGAGGAGGTAAAAAACTTACATGAGCGTAGGCGAACCACCTTCGACTCCTTGCCATGAAAATAGGCGCCGGGAGGAAGATGATGAACACGGAAATAGCAATCAGGACTACGGGATAGTATTCATACACCTCGTTCGTCCCGTACTCACTAAAGTTGAGCCATATGAACACTCCAAAGATGAAGGTGAACAAGCTAGGGAACTCGGCTAGCTGCCGCCAGTCGAGATTATGCCGGGTATCGAATTCGAAAATAAAGGGGTAGTTGATCTTGTTCCGCGTCCAGATGGCACAGTTGAGACAGAACATGCAGAACAGAAGCAGCATCAAGAAGTACCCGCCGTAGATCTGCAAGAGGTAGCTGGTGCGTGACCGTACCTCGGGATCCTTGTCGAACAGCAGCTGGCCGCCAAAGACGGCGCCCTGGATGGCGAAAACCAGTCCAGTACCAAGGAGGATTCCGCAGCGGAATGCACTCCCAGACTCGTCTCCCGGTCTGCGACTCAGACTTCGCAACTTGCCAGCCGCGAGTTTGTGGTTGCCACGCTCAAAGTACCGAGCATATAAGTCTTCCACCGCCTTGATATGGCCGTCCACAGCGTCACTGTTGACGAACCACGACTTGCTGACTTTTTCGTTCATGTAGCGGTACTGGGGCCGGGCGTTGACAGCCTTGTCGTACTTTTTGTTCAGCTTGCGGAACGCAGTCCGATTCAGGAGAGCGTAGGACTTGAGCAGTTCGAGGCCGCGGTAGAACTCTTGCAGAGCGAGCTTGAGCTTGCGTTTGGCGGTTCGGTACGGGACGTCATGTTCGTGGGGTCGTCGGATGTAGTCCCGTCCTGCGTCGCCGCCTTTCGGGCGCATGACTGGGGTCTGGGCCATTTTCGACAGTGCCTTGGAATTTGGCCCCGGGCGGAAGATCTTGGACTTTACAGGATCGATCCAGCCGAGGGGGCCCTTTTGGGGACCGTCCGAGTCGCCGTGTCCGCCGTTGAGGAAGTCGATCTCTGCCTGTTGCTTCTGGACATGCAGCTCTTGGGTCCGCCGGTTTCTCATTTCGTGCAGTTGGTCCTTAAGCAAACTCAGACGTTCTCCGGCCTGGTCCTCCTTCAACTTGTAGAATGCCTCGACCTTTTCCAGCTCAGAGTCCAAAAAGTCAAAGAATTCCTTCTCCTTCTGCCGGACTAGGTCGATAGCCAGCCCTTGGAGCCCGTACTCTGGGTTCGTCCCTGATCGGTTCAGAGGTGACGCGTTTGAGAACAGGCGCCTGAGACCACCTCTCGGCGAAGCATTATAGGCAGATCCAATTGTCGCAGAGTGGGGGAGCCGTAGCGATGAAGGCGTGTTCTCGTGCTCGGTCGGGGGCGGGCCAGAAGAGCGAGGGGCATCCGCAATCATGGAGGCGCTTCTCTGCAGTACCTGGCGGGTGGGCTGGTCGTCCTGGGCAGAAGCGGGCTGCGGGCTGGCATCACTCTGGTGAGAAGGCACGCGCATTGCCGGCCCGGGCAGCTCAAAAGTTGCCTTGCGGTCCAAGGGGGCTCCGGTATCATGATTCGGCGGCGTGTGAACGAAGCTCCCGTACTGTAAATCGGTCGACCCGTTGTTCAACCCCTGACGTTCGTGGCTGGTGGAAACGGGAATCGCTCGTGCTGGTGTCGCGGGCTTTTGTCGTGCTGAGCCGACCGGGGCCGGGCTGTGGCGGAGCGAGGTCCGCTCGTCGGGATTTCCGCCTCGCGAGTGTCCATGTTTCTGGCTATTGAATGGCGAATGGCTGTGGAAGAAGTTGGCGGCGATGCGGTTCTCGCTCTTGCTGGCGTTGTTTTGGGGGCTACCGTTGGCGCGATTGATGGCACGGGAGACGGCCTTGACGTACTTCTTGCCGGCCTTGTAGTTGAGGTACTTGATGCGCCATTCTATGTGAGATAATTGTCAGTCAGAGTAGAAGGATAGCAGAGAAGCCATTCGCAGAGAGACAAGGGCGGCGCGCACCTGGTACGAGGTCTTGCTCGAGCTCCTTTGCAAACTTCATGACGTAGTGGCGCCCGTTGCGCAGCGCGGCCTAAGTAAAAGGTACAGGAAAACAGCGTTTACCGAACGAATGGAAGAGGCAACGCCATGTAAACTCTATGAGGTGTATTGAAGTAAGAGCATGTGTGTATTCCAGGGTACTGTCGAGAGATTCCAACGAGTCGAGTCGCACCGCCTCGTTCCCAGCTTGGCCCTTGTTTTTGTCGACGGGAAACGGGGGAATTTCAAGGTGTTTGGTTTTAGTCTTGTTTTTTCTTCGAGGTGCGCGCTTGGACGAAGCGTTCGCCTGCAACTTTTGGGCAGCCAAGCTTTTCGTTCCATTGCTTTTCAGTGCTTGCAGCTGCCAATTGCCCCCCCCGCCTTTTCTTTCGTCTGGTGTTCCGTTCCCTCAACTCTCATGTCTTATCGTTATCTGATTACCCGACTGAGTCCCAAACTGTCGATACCAGCAACGGCTGTCGCCAATCGCAGTCCAGTGTTACAGCACGTCTTCGCTATGACTGCCGACACCCGGCGCCGAAGGTCGCTGTATCCCGGGCTCAAGTGTTACCTAATGGTACCTGACAACGCCCATACCAGGCGACGGGAAGGTAAACTCAATTGACAAGTCCCAAAAACGGTGTTGCTTATGTCAGCTCGGAAAACGCGCCCCGAACGGTACGGAATACTTCCACTTGGCACTTGCCCTGTAAGTTCCGTGTAACTGCCATTGCTTTTCTTCGCTGCATCTTGTGATCCCTTCATCTTGACGTTTGACCACCCTTCTCAACCTCCCTGACTACTTTCCGTCAATATGCTGTCACAATGGGCTCAGCGGTCGAGGAACCCATAGCTCTATGGGGTTTCCTCGAACTTCCCACTTCATGCCACCCAACAAGACCCATCTTGCACTTACGGACTGTCTCGTCCAGAGAGCACCATCCTCAGACGTCGAGTCAGAGTTCAAGGGGTTCATCCGACCTCAGCAATGCATCTTTCAGGGTCCTGAACTGTCACGCTACCATCGCCATCTGGCACTGCCCTTCCCTGGTCACATCCTGGCTCAATCTGGCTCGGGATAAACGGCCTGCTGATATGTGACTTGCGCTGCAACCAACTAGCAGACAAGGGCCAGCCGCCTGCATACATGATGCATCCATGACCCAGTCACGCCAGCAGTTTCCTAGACGCTCTGGCTCCAGAGACATTGCCTGAATGGCCTCATGCGAGTCCACAGCTGTGTCAAGCTGCCTGTTGATCACCAATGGACTTTCTTTTCCAGACACAAAGCATGGACACATGTTAACGACGGGGAGACGGCGAGGAGCTACAGCTCAACTCCCCATGCAGTTTTCACGATACGACGCCGTCAGTCGCCTGAAGAAGGGCAGGCTAACCATAAACCGAGACTTGGCCCTTTCCAACATGTAGACTTCCAACAAGCACTCAATACGGCCTGCCCATCGCCAACTTGCAGCAAACCAATGCACGGGTCGTTGGGCCGTCTCGACCCATTCGATTCTCTGGGCGCTTTCTACCCCCAGTGGTCTCCAGTGCGCTCCACGCATGTCGACGCGGCCGGGCGGAGCTGTCGTCAAGGATAAACCTCGATGCCCTGCACTTCACCACATCGGGCAGCCCGTCGACCGGGCGGCCCTCCCCCAGTTCCCCGGGGCAAGGCAGCCTGAGCCTAGGTCCCTAGGACTCAGGAGGCCAAGGCCACAGAGTTGTGTCGAGAGAACATGGGAAGTCGACGGATAGTAAGGAGAAAAGAACGCCGTCGACGGGAGCCGGGCCAATAGTCGATTCCTTCGAACGCCTTCGAGACCACCATGGGCAGGGCCGAGCCTTTCAACGGTCTTGCGGCGGCTCCTCATCAACTACCTACTTCAGTGGTGTATTCACACATCTATATCCGCATGTGCCAACGGCGAGGTGGCAATCACAGCTTGACGCCATGCAGCCTGCACATGCAACGGGCGTGATCTCACCAGAGGTATTGGCTTCCAATTTGCAGCTGTACGCAAGACCGTTGCCCTTTGAACTCGCTTAGATCCAGGAATGTCGAGGGCGGGAAACCATGCGACTTCTATCCGCGAGACACACACATACACACGGCTGTGTCATGCTCACGAGGCGCGGGATCACACAGGCCGAACCAAGACAATTCTTGCCTGTTTCGGCGCCTCATTCCCGGGCAAAATTGTCACATTCGCCGACGAGCATCACTCGCTCAGCCGATTCAATAGTACTGGCCACCTTCTGAGCTGTGAAGGTAGCTGCAGTCTCACAGCTATTCTGTTGCCCAGTATCTCGACATTACAAGCTACAGGCGACCTTGCTTATAAGTGGGCGCGATATGTGGGCTTGAGGGGGGCACGGTCTCGCCCCCGACTTCGCGGTGACACCAACCATGAGTTCGCGAGTTGAGCAACAAGTCGTCACGGTCGTCAAGCCTCGAGGACTAGAGAGTCGAAGCGAACATAACCGATGATCTTTGTCTCACCACGGGAAGCGATCCGCAATGATTCCCGCGCCAAGTCGCCCCCTTTGGTCAGCAAGGTACGCGATCCTATCGCTGTGACAGCGCCTGCAGCGAGATGGCAGCTGCGCGGCCTCAATGTGCCCTATGTGCGCATGGAAACGAATGGGCGGCAGACGGCGGCGGAGACTCTCCTTTTGGGTACCAATTTTGTTTGGCACTGGTTGGGCTGGTTGGTTTGTTGGTTGTAACTTTTTTCCCTTTTCCCTCTGTTGGAACTTGGGTCTTTGGAGACGAGCTCCCCAATATGGGACAAGATGGACCCTATGTGCCGCATTATCGCATACGCCGCACTTAGCCCGCCCAACCCCATCTCAAGGGAGAACCGGTCGCACGAAGAGGGTGGGCTTTTTTGTTTGAAAGAGCCTGGGCAATCTTTGATTATCCTTGCTTTTTATGTACGAATCGGCGCATCTTCCTCTATGGATGGGGAGAGATGAGCAAGCGGGCGGGCGTGCCATGGCCCATGGGTCATGTGCAAGGCGTGTTTGTTCTTTTTCCCTCTCCGCAACACCCGCGTCAAGTTTGCTTGAATTCCCAAAACTGCAACTCTGGTTGGGCGAGGGCGAGGGCTTCTTTACCAAGTTACCGGGACGGTTGAACATTCCACAGCCTTGATTGGTTGCATACGGCTTGCCTCGAGGGTGCAAGTAGCTATCCAAGACACTGCGAAGCAAACAACCCATCTATATCTGGTCTGGCTTCCCTCTTAGCCCCCCAAAAGCTACCCTTGCCTTGCCTGCCCTCTCGTCCTCTTCTTGGATCTCTCCGCACTCTCTTGTTAAGGGTGACTCTTGCGACGACGACAGCTTTTTGACCTCTAGTGATTACTCGACACCCTACTGTACGGCAGACCACCAACATGACACTCGAAACCAAGGCTACGAATCTTGATGAGGCTATGGATCAGCCAAGTCTCTTACATAGAGCCTCTAAGAAGTGCCTGCGGGTTCTCAGGAAAGCTTCAATGAGAGAAAGGTCACGGCCTGACGACAAGTCAAGTACAAGCGGAAGATCTTTGGCCAGCAGATCATCGTTCAGGTCATCGTTCTCAACGTCATCTCTGTTCACGACAAAAACTATAGAGGAGGATCATATGACCTTGGACCGGCCCATCGCAGAGGAGCCTATCAGGGAAGAAGTCAGCTGCGATGGAAACAACTTGAACGAAAGCCTTATCGACGAAGAGTTTACGCAACAAGCGAGTTCGAAAGCACCGAGGAGAGAACATCACCAGGGCCAGTCGACCTTCTTTCGGCAGCTGCCCCCCGAAATCCGACATCAGATTTATAGACATTTCTGGATCTCGGCCGGGGTCGAACGACATGCTTTTCTACGAAATAGGAAACTCTTGTTTTCTCCCTGCATCACAGATCATGAAGCGCCTGATGAGCGTCAGATCGGGGTCGCCAAAGACTTCCAAAAGTCCTCTTCCACCGCGGAGGTCCAGCCTCACCCGAAATGGTTCAGAAGAATGACGTCTCCTTGGTGTAATCACTGGAAATGCGAGAGGTTATGGGAGGATATACGAGACGGACGCGAAGTAGACGGGAACAAGAAGCAAGCGTACATGTTTCTTCTCCTGTCCTGTAAGCGGATGTGAGCTTACCCTCCTCTCCCTAATCTGACGAGCAGCCCACTAATCATGACTCCCATTAGATACAACGAAAGCATAGAATCCTTCAGGGAAGCCAAAACCCTAACAATCACCGACGGTCAAACTCTTCACCGCATCCTCCGCTGGCCACGTCCCACGTACCTCCACCAAGCTCGCCGCCTCAACATCTCCCTCCGCCACGACAGCGGCAATTTTCTTTACCTCAACGGCGCCTCCATGTGGCACATACTCTCCGAGCAGGACTCGTGCCAGGCGGAGAGCATCTACCTCTGGCTCGACGCCGAGTGCCCCGTCACACGTCGCCTGCTGCCCGAGTTCCGCGAGCTGTACGACTGTGTACCGCCTTCCGTCGCGGCACGCCTGACGATTGATTTTCCCTGCGACGCCGAAGACGGGTTCTGGGCGTGGGAGGACGGGGTGGAGATTGAATCGCAGGAGGACGGTGGACAGCTGAAGAGGTTAGGGCCGCTAGTGCCTGAGTTCCGGGTTGTTGCGAGGGGGCGGCAAAGATTTAATGAGACTTCGGCGGGGTATGTTAGTTGTGTTGATCGGGGGAGCCCGAGGAGGAGGGTTTTGAGGGTGAGTAATCCGTTTGAGGATATTTTGCTCTATGGGAGAGGATTCGTTGATGGGTCATACGTGTAGCCGAAAATATGAACCCGTTACGGGTCTGGTTAGATGTCATTGGGAGTAATCTCTGATTCGAAGACGAAAATTGCACCATGACTATACGGTTATGTCTCTGTGAGAATGGAAGCTTATTGAGACCCCTGAGCAGGATGGACCCAGCTCGTTGCCCCAAGGGAACGAGGACTGCGGTCTAGCCCCTGATTTCAACGCTTTTCCACCCTACCTAATGTCACAAAGCCTCAGTCAATAGACCTTTGTCACCTTGAGCCGCTTAAAGGCACAGTCATCATCCTTCCGATACGACACCGATAGTCGCGTCTACCTCCATGGCTTATTCGAAAATGTCTGGACCTATCCAGTCGTCGTTGGTTTCCTTCCATGGATGGACCAACTATTCAAGTTAGCTCAATCATAAGCTAGGTTGTCAAGGCTACTTACATATTGTAGTAAGCATGGATGTTCTTGTTCGCAAAGTCTTTCCGAGCCTCCATGGCGAGGATCATGACCTCTTCTTTTGTCCAGTCGAGGCCTCGGGTCAGCGGCGCCATGAGAAAGCCTTCCCAATTAGGGGCAAAGTTCTCGTAGTTCCAGAGCCCAATCTCCTTGTGCTTCTTGTCCTTGGGCCAACTGTTGGTGGGCCATTTGAACCGCTGGATGTGCACGTCTTCGAAGCCAATCTCCTTGATAACGCCCTCGAAACGGCTGAATTCCTCGTAGGGGACCCCTAACTTGGCGATGGCTTCGCAGCAGAGACGGACGCTCTTCATCAGCGAGGTATCCTCTGTGAGGGTCCCATCGTCTGAGAGGGGAACGGCGTCGATGTCGTTGAGCTCGAGGTAGCCGCCGGGGTTGAGGTTACTAAAACCAGTTTTCAGCGTTCATGACGGTCAAACAGAGACGTGGGGCTCACTCGAAACAGCTCTGGAGGAATTGTCTCCAGTTTCTGATGCTGCCCGTCATCATGCGACTATGGATGTAATCGAAAGGCCTCGAGAACAGCCACGGCTCCTCGATATCGTCAATTTCGAACTGCACATTCGGTGGCACGCTGGTATGTACTCGTCAGCTGTGAGCTTCACTTGGAGGAAGCATCCTTCTTCCTACAATAGAGGCTGTATCGCCGATAGATCAACACCAATGACCTGGGAAGGAAATCAGCTTTTGTGAATTCTCTTACTGATACTGATAACATAAGTCCTCATACCTCGGATTCTGGGTGTTCGTCGCCAAAGTCAATGGCCCAGATTCCGGACCCGGTGCCAATGTCGAGCGCTCTGCCGACCTTTGCGTCTCGATCGTTTGGCGGTGCAGTACCCAGTCGATCATCAAAAGTTCGGATAAACAAGTTGTGTTGAAGGTCTGATGCGGTTGTATCAGTCTTCTTCTCAGCAAACTGAAGGCATGCGTCGTAGCATCGGTCTAATGAGCAGATGACGAACCTAGGCGATCACTTTCCCTCTCGTCGTTAGGGGCGGCGTACTCTGATAATATCATTAACATACTACTAGTGTCTGATTATTCCATTCTCTGCGGAAACTTCGAACTCACTGCCGTCCTTATACTTATGGTAAGTTCGCCCATTTTCGATACGATACTCCAGAATAGAACTAGTCACACTTGTTGTAGACGAAGCTAGGCTTGCCTAGGTATTGAAGCATATATGAGTTCACCGTGCAAGTTGCCGAGGAATAAGTAGTGAAGCCAAGTAGTTGCTTACATTGCTCAACGATGAGCCATCGGTGTCAGTCTGGAAGGGAATACAGTCTCAGAATATGGAATCTCTACACCTTTTCGAGCACCTGTAAGTTCGCGGGGAATCGTACCTCGTCAGCCGCCAGATGTTCATCCGTCGGTGTTTGCATGGTATAACTTATGTCTTTGGTAGTGGGATGGCGTAATGGATTCTAGAGATGAGAGTGATTTTGCTATGCCTTGAGGAAATTCGTGGGGTTCCAACAAACAGGTGGGAAGAGGTTCCGCTGAAGAAGCGGGAACGGGTGAGTATCGGTTCATTCGGCAAGGTAGCATGTAATATCTGCTCGCCATTGCTACCCCTCTTCTGCTAGGTAGACAAGAAAATGTAATGTTCGATGTCACCCCTTGGTTGGTCGTGGTTGTGCATATCACCCCTGCAACTAGGAACAACTGCATGCGACTATGCGCCTATGCGGCGTAGATATCAAACCTAGTGTCGGAAAGGCCATAAACCGAGATCAAGATGGTGACTAGCTAGCTATGTTGAGCAAAAGGAATCCGAATCAGATTTTGACTTTTTACATTCAACACCAGCGGAGAAATCAGGTTTCTCGCCCATTGTAAATTGAATCCTCAAGCCTTCACGGGCTTCTTCCCATAGATAGACCAGCTATCAAAGTTAGCGACGTACTATCACTCTATCAAGCGGGCTCACTTACATCTGGAAATAAGCGTGTATGCTCGCATCATCAAAGTCCTTTCGCGCCTCGACAGCAAGCTCGTGAACCTCCTGCTCGGTCCACTTCAATCCGCGCGTAATTCCAGCCATGAACATACCCTCCAAGTGCGGCGCAATGTTTTCATGATTCCAGATCCCCAGCTCCTTGAACTTCGAGTCCTTTGGCCAGCTATTTGTCGGCCACTTGAACCGTTCAACGCGAATGTCCTCGAACCCGACCTCGGCCAGGACGCCTTCTAGGCGGTTGAACTCCTCAAATGGGGACCCGAGGGCCGTGATGCCTTCGGACCAGAGGCAGAAACTCCTTTTGAGGGCGCAATCCTCGGTGAGGGTGCCGTCGTCGGAGAGGGGGATTGCATCGATATCGTTGAGTTCGAGGTAACCCCCTGGGTTGAGGTTGCTGTGAGAGATGTGTGCATTAGACGGCGGGGATGCTTTATGCGTGTGTGTGGGAGGGACTATGCGAGCGAAACTCACTCGAAGCAACGGCGGAGATAGATCTTCCAGTCTGCGATGCTGCCCGTCATCATCCGGCTGTGGATGTAGTCAAAGGGAAGCGAGAAGTGCCAGTCCTCTTCGATATCTTCGACCTGGAACTGCACATTTGGCGGCACGCTGTAGTGCAATGTTAGTTTTCGCTTCAGGAATATGATAGCTGGTATGGAATTGGAAAGCTCATACAATGTTGACTGAACAGCCGATAGGTCTACGCCAATGACCTGCGTATTGAACGGTTATTACTTGCAAGATCTTATGTGGCCACGTAGTCTACGACTTACCTCGGCATCGGGATGCTCATCGCCAAAGTCGATTGCCCAAATGCCCGATCCAGTTCCCACGTCCAAAACCCTGCTGACATTAGAGTCTCGTGCGTTAGGTGGCGCGGTTCCTAGTCTGTCGTTGAAGGTCCGGATGAAGAGGTTGTGCTGTAGATCTATTCCCCCGTGTGGTGTCTAATTAGTACCTAGCCCTTGACCTCGATGTGTTGTTGCGAGAGAGAGCCTTACCGAGTCGATCGATTTCTTTATCGTCGTTGGGCAGGTTATATTCTGGTATTGTGAGTGATGCTGCAACATGAAAATAGGTGCGTCCGAGAACTTACTTCCGTCTTTGTATTTGTGATACGTCCGGCCGTTCTCAATGCGGTACTCGAGAATTGAGCTGGCTACGCTGGTTGTCGACGAAGCGAGACTTTGCTGTTCGATTCTGAATGAGTTCCATGACAAACACGCGGATGAGAGTAGAGGCATGAAAACTGGCTTACATGGCTCACGGAGGAATTGTCGTTGACATTCTGTATAGGAGACAATGAATTAGTATCGGTATAGATGGCTGAATGTCGACAGATTATCCCACCTCATCTGCCGCCAGCACACCATCGTTATTAACTGCCATGACTTTGATGAACCGCTAGAGAGCTGGATATTGCGAGCCTCTGGGATGCCGAAGGCGCGGGCCGTATGAAGTTGGCGGGGCGTTGCGCTGAAGATATAGGAGTCAGCAAGCGTCTCGCATCAGATCATCGCTCTCTGACCTCGGTGATTTACCCCCATCGAGAGTTGCCCTTCGCCCTACCCCTCTTCTTGTCGGACAATAAATGCATGTTGGTTGTGAACATGCTATCGATTCTGCATCTTGACCCTGGCACGTCCAGTGACAGGGACTGGCTGCATGGAATAGCATTTGGCAAGCGGCACGGGCAGTACCGGGCGGCTACGCGGCTTGTATCCGCAACCCCTCGTTCCGCACCCGTAACTTGACAGTCCCATCTTTATGGACTCGCATTAGGGTATTGTACACCCAAAACACTGTGCTATCAATCTAGATTTGGCTCATAGAGCTCTTTCATTCATTATCGTGCGGAGTCCCTGGAGTACAGAGAACTGCACCTCATTCTTCTTGAGTTCCGAAGGGTGTGGGACAAAGGTGCCTGGGCATGGGACGGTCTCTGAGAGATGCATATGAGTTCGGCCGTAGTAAATACATGGTGAACTGGGAAATTCTTAAGCCTTGAAGTTGTGATAGTAATTAAGTCAAAGGGAAGTTGAGCGGTGGCATCTTGCGTGGGGAATGATAGTCTGCCAACAATCATAAAGTATGTTTACCTCAGGAAGAATACAAAGAAATAACATTCGCAGCCTCAGCTTTCTAGATCGCCAACAGATTTTCTAGAGAAAACAAAAATTGATTATTCGTAGAGTACAACTCGGTATAAGCTACTATTGTAGACTAAATTGGGATTATCGAGTTTTAGTTCTACTCTTAGTCTTCTAGTCTCAGTGAAGGTCTTAATCTCGATGTGTCAAGTGGCACAACTCCGCATTCGGCTTGGTTTCCGAGGTCTTGGTTGCTAAGCGAGCAATACGAGCACTGCCTTGCGGAGCTCCATCGGCTTTAAACGCCGTCCATCCATTTCTTCGGCCGGCGTCAACGTCAGCATCAGCGAATGGAGGCTCGGAATCTTGGAACTCCCCGCCCTTCCGACTTCCCGCCAATCTTGGATCATAAACTCGAGATCTGTAGAAGACCTACTGAGTGGGTGTGTCTGATGCCGGTAAGTCTCTCCTCTCTTTCCGGTGACACCGCATAGCAGCTTCTAGGGGTTCGTCCGCGACTTCGGGTATCAAGGAGCATCGGACGCGATGGAGGTCCTTCCGGAGCGGAGGATTGCAGCCAAAATTTCGAAGAAACCGCACAGAAAATCCAAGCTTGGATGCCACACTTGCAAGAGACGTAAGATCAAGGTTCGTCTGATGATATACTGTTACCCTGCACGCCACCTCTTCTTTTAGTGATGGATCCTTGGGCCCTACCGGGCCTAGTATCGTCCATGCACCAGACCACAACACCTCGGCCGAATTCTCACAATATGACCCATTCGCGCACCCAATATCCTTGACACTACTTTACTTGCTAACGCTGGCTTCTTATAGTGTGACGAACTGAAGCCAGCATGTCAAAATTGCGTGCGTCACCTGGTGACGTGCGACTTCCTGCAAAGTCGCTCGATGGCGATATCAATGCGCAGCATGCAAATCACCTTGCAAACAAGCCTTGACGCCAGAAGCGCAGACGATCTAGAGACATCTACGAGACCCGCGCCAGCTATCGACCAAGCCCTCAACTTTGTCGATTTGGAGCTGATCCACAACTTCACTACCGCCGTATACATGACACTATCAACAGATGACCTCGTCCGCCAGATGTGGCGAGTCTCGGTAGTCCGCATGGCGCTTAAATGCGAATATGTCATGCGAACTTTGCTCTCCATATCGGCTCTACATCTAGCCCACCAGCGGCCAGAACGAAAGGAGGCTCTCGTGGCTAAGGCCCTGCTTTATCATCGATCAGCCTCAAGGGAAGCAATGGAGCTGATGAGCGCTCTTGATGAACGAAATGCCGAGAACTTATTCTTGTTTTCACTTCTTACAATATTCTTCGGTAAGTGATCACTACGTGAGTGGATCACGAAATGCATTGTTGCACCTCGTTTTCCCTTTCCTATCTTCAAGTCAATTCGAGATTGCGCCTGCACGGGCAGTACACTGGCTTATGATTGAAACTTAGCTCTGGCATCGGGACGCTATCTGAAGGAATCAGTGGTTGTCTGGGAATCCGCATTCCCGGACTGGACATTCCTCCTATCCGGAGCTTGTTCTCTTATCAAACTCCTCAATTCGAAGAACTACGAGGGTCCCTTGACTCCTCTGTTGACATACGCAAAAGAACGATTCTTCACTGCACGTGATGACTCGCGAGCTCGACCAGCTGCCTTGGAAAGTCTGCGAAAGCGCGTCAACGGCAGCAACATTGACAAAGAGTTGCTGCGCATCCATAGTCTGGCTATTGACGAATTAGGTCACCCTCTTTCTCTTGCTCTGCATAGTGGAGGTCGTGGTATGGACATCATGGATATGTTCATCTGGAAATACTTCGTGTCGGATGAGTTCCTACCTTTGCTTAAAGAGCCGAGGGCGAATCAGGAGGCCATTGTTATTTATGCCCACTTTTGTGTTGTGCTGAAGAGATTAGAGAGTCAATGGTGGCTTCAGGGCTGGTCGATTCATCTCATATCACAGGCGTGGGAGTTGCTAGATGAGAGCCACAAACCTTGGATCCAGTGGCCGATGGAGGAGCTAGGATGGGTGCCCCCAAGCTAATCATAGAGAATAATGCGATGAGCTTTGTGACTTGGAAGCTAGATTATGAAGATTAAATGGGTACCAAGCCGGGTAGTCGTAGTTTGTGTGACTGTGGCGGCATCTCGTAGGCGAGGCTTGTACCACAATCTTTGCGGAACCAGTAATGTAACGACTCAACGAAGAGACATCTTGATAACTCAGTTGCACACAGAATAACCACAGTCCGTGAGCGCGGTATAATAGCGAATGCTGTGCCAGTTGAGGGGTTCACAGAATATACAATCCAACATCACACATTGAGGAGCCAATGGGGAGTTACGATGCCTCTACTACCAGGTACTTACGTCAATCAATTCCCTCGTATCGCATATCTCCCAACCTAGTTTGGCTAGGACGCCGCATATTCGAAAGAGACACCTGCTAAGCCGTCTACTTCTCTTATGATTCAACGAGAAACCGGGAACCACGTTCTTTTATCTTCCTGCAAGCAGCTCCATTTTAGGTGGAAGCAATCGCCTTGCTTCAGCCTGATACGCGGAAATCAATACCCTCAAAGTTACCCCGAGACATTGATTAGTTCACGTTCCGTTCCCTACACCAACGGCCGATAATGGAAGAAGCAAGCTCAGTCATCAGTGTTACCAAGTTATTGCTCAAATAGGCAGGTTCAATTGTGCTTCTACAGTTGGACGAAAGGCCGTCTTGGCAGCGCTTGGCATACTAGCAGTAACAAGCAGTTGAATTAATACAGTGCAACCACACACCGCTAGCGCCAGTTGTGAAGCTTGTCTGCCATTCGACCAACACCAAGACTCATCCCACGTCTTCCGCCCGGCCCCTCATCAAGGCCAGGTTGATCAACAGATCAATTTAAGCTTATCGGTCGAAGCCGGCGCCCGACCGTATTACGACGAGCATATTGTTCCTCTCGGCCTGATCGCTTCATGCAAGGACAGAACCTCTGCCGAGCCACAGAACAAGTCCCCACACTAATCTGACTCTCTCTCGCTTGGCTATCAATAACACTAACTTGACCGCAGAACACAGAAGGTAGCAGATATCGAACCCCGCGGTTTCCACGGGTGCTTTTTCGAAGACCCCGACTCAACCTCAGCTGCAACTGAGTCTTGGTATCAGCCAGATGAGGAAGGCGTATGAAGCAATGGAAAGACAAGTCTCGGGCTCGTTTCCGGTTTCCTTCTATCAGCTGACGCGCCTTTTTACTCTTGTAGTACAGTTGTTACTGGGCTTCCTGTTAGGGCATCGTTCCAAGCCGATTCAGCTCGCTGCAACGTACGAGGCAACTTCCAGAGTCCCGAGAATAGAAGCCCAACAACGACAAGATGACTTACATCAAGAGAGATGGATGATCGAGTATATATAGCCCAGATCTCTTGCCATCAAGGTTCCCCTTCTTAGCTCGACATCCCTCTCAGTCTCGCAACTCCTATCCAAGTCGCTTGTTCGCTCCCCGGTCCCCGGCTCACTCTTGTCAATATGCACTTCAACCTCGCCCTCGTCGCGGCTCTTGCCGCCTCCGTTTCTGCCGCGGTCACCCCCGCCGTTAGATTCGGCTGTGCCACCGAGGATCCGTCCGCCGAGCACATCGAGATCTCCAAGAAGCTTGCTGAGGAGGAGGCCGCCAACAACGGTACTGTCAGCCTGGCTGCTCTGGCCACCATTACCGTTCCTACCTACTTCCACATCGTGGCTTCCTCCCAGACTGTGGCCAATGGATACATCACCGTAAGATCTCCTAGCTTCATAGCTTCATGCTCTTTCTCCAGCTTCACTTTAAGCACGTTTCAAAGAGGACGGTCACTTACATGGGATATGGGTGTAGGACAAGATGGTCACCGACCAGTTGGCCGTGATGAACTCCAACTTCGCCCCCCACGGCATCCAGTTCAACCTGGTCGAGACTACTCGTACCATTAACTCCGCCTGGGCCGGCTACAGCAGCCAGACCGCCATGAAGACTGCCCTCCGCAAGGGTGACTATGGCAGTCTCAACCTGTACTTCCTCAAGAGCGTCGGAGGTGCTTTCGGAATCTGCACGTTCCCCACCACCGCCTCCCCCGGCTCCTCTGCTTTCATCGCCGACGGCTGCACCATCCTGTCGTCCACCGTTCCCGGCGGAAGCGAGACCAACTTCAACCTCGGAAAGACTGCCACCCACGAGATTGGTCACTGGTTCGGTCTTTACCACACCTTCCAGGGCGGTTGCAATGGTGGAGACTCCGTTGCCGATACCCCTGCCCAGGCTAGCTCTTCTTCCGGATGCCCTGTCGGCCGTGACTCTTGCCCCAGCATCGCCGGCCTCGACCCCATCCACAACTACATGGACTACTCCTACGAGTAAGTTACTATCCCGCTTGGAATCACAAAAGCTTCTTGCTGACGTATGATACAGCTCTTGCTACGAGGAGTTCACCGCTGGCCAGCAGACCCGCATGCTGAGCTTCTGGAACAACTACCGCGCCTAAGCTGTCCGCGTTTGCGCACCTAATTGACTTTGACACCGGCATGATACAACTACAGCATGCACCATGTAGCGTCTCTTGTATATATGTAGTTTGAATTCAAAGTTGTGCCTACAAGAACCTGAACTTCATGTTGTTAAGTTTTGCTTCAAGCCTTAGGCTATTGTCTTGCGTCCAGAATTACGGGGTTCCCGATGATCTCACCTTGTTCGTCGATATCATTGCAGAGTTCGACAGTAGACTTTAGGAGTTCTCTGAACAGGGAAGAGCAGAGGCAACTTGTAAGTTGCATGCCTTCCAGGCAAGTACTCTTCGCAAGTTCCTCACTTCTTGATCCACACCTTCTAAGTTACTTGAGGCTCTATCACATCCTTTTTAATCACACAATGTGAACTGCCGAGGGAAGCTACTAAGCGCATTGAAATATTTGGCATCGACTTCCTCAGAGACTATATGTCATTCATGGCTTGTTTAGGCTTTATCCTACGGATAACTGCAGCCTTGTTTCTGGTGTGCCAGTCTCAACTCTCCACTTGCCTTCAAACTCTTTCCTGGACCGTACCGTGATAGGAATCGGCTCAGCAGGAGAATGCAATGCCACAAAGAGACCTTCAACCTTGGGCATTCTCCACTCCCTCCCAGATGGGCCTTCGCCCTTGAAATCTGGCGCAATTTCAAAGTCGAGTTTCAAGGTCATCAACGCAATCAGCGTCATAGTACCGGTAGTCGCAAACCACCGTGCAGGGCAGACGTGAGGTGCCACGCCCCAAATGGGAAAGGAGTGAGGTGCCAAGTCTCCCGGAGAGGCTACACCCGGCGCATCAGGCTTCTTCTTCATCTTGATGAACCGGTAGGCATCAAAGGAGGTGGCGTCTGGACCCCACGTTTCCTCGTTGCGGAGGATTGGAATGCCGTTGATCTGGACATAGTTGCCGCTTTTGAGGAGCTGAGTCTTATCGTCTACTGTGATTGTCGTGTCGCGAAGAACCTCTCGGATGTGTGCGTGGATGGTGTGCAGGCGCTGCGCCTCTTGAATCGAGGACAGTAGTAGCGGACATGCCGACTTGATGACCGAGATGTCTAAGCTGAACTCGCCATTTTCGTCCTTCTTGACTGCCTTGCGTACTTCATCGCGGATCGCATCGACGAGCCACGGGCGAGAGAAGACCTCAAAGACGGACCACCATGTCGTTGGGACGTAGTTAGCCAGCATAGCAATATCAAAGCCAATGTTGATACGCCCAATATCGCGTGGCGATACTCCGTTCTCTGCCATAATTCGTGATCGACCCTTGAGAAGACCTGAGGCTGTCTCTGTGCCCCCGAGGCGAACGTATTCTTCGTACCGTAGGCCGTTCCGTTCCCGCGCTTGCATTGCCTTTTTCGCAAACAACTCTGCAATGATACCTCCCGGAAGAAGCAAGTGTGCCTTATCAGCGAAGGTCCTGTAGATTGTCAGCTTCTCGTCTAGAGCTCAGTCCCCTCAAACGAAGTTTACAAGGGCTATCAGAAAGTACGTACCAGAAGTCAGCCTCATGATCAGGGTTCTTGAAGGGGTTAAGAGGACCGAACATCCCTTCCGTTGCTGACAGCCCGACGGTGTGCTTCACCCAGGCGAACAGATCGATCGGAACGCCTGTTTCTGATGATTCGAGGGCACTTGTGGCTAATTTGTCAACAATTTCGAGTTTCACCTGAGTTGCAACAAGGCTCATGTCATCGAGCTCGGGACCAGCTGCTAAAGTCGTGCGTTGGACTCTATCAAATTCCTTGGCCTCGGGGCCACCTCCTAGGTGATCTTGTAAGTTGGTGGCCTTTTCATCGGCACCGCTAAAGTTGTGTGCCGCCTTGGCTGCAAAGGGCGCAAAAGAGATTGTCCTAGCATTGCGCTGGATAGACGAGATGAATTTGCGTTCTGCGATAATGTAGAATTTGAAGGAGAAGATGGGTGCAGAAAAGATCTTTGACTTGGCGTCGGCCCTGTCGTATCATGTCAGCCTGAAGATCATCCAATGTTGAGATCGAGCAAGCAGGAACTTACCCAACTTTGGTAAAGTAGTTGCCAGAGCCGTACTTATTCAGACCGAGAAGATGACCAATCAATGGTACGCGAGGTCTGATGTACTCTGGCTCTTGCGGACTTTTGGAGAGGAAGAAGAAGGACTCGAGCAAATAGCAGCCGATGACAACAACCGCGAAGACCGTGCCGGCCAGTGCAGGGAGCTCCATTTTGCAATGTTCTAGCAGTAGGATCAGTCGCAAAGAAAGGGAGGAACACCGGAAAGCCAATAGGGACAATCGGAGTCATATATCAAAAGCGTTGACCTGCCGCAGATCCTTCAAGGGGCCATTCGTAATCGTATTAGAAGTTCGGCAGTCGGCTGTCAGCATTATGAACCCTGTTAGGCATCGAGGATGGTCATCGAAAATCCCACTGGAACGTCTACACGAAAGCTGCATTTAGTTACTCCACAAAGCAGGGGGGTTGCGCTAGTTCGATAACGGGGCTGTTATGGACTAAGGAACCAGTCGAAATCAGTAATTGCGTAGGATTGATTGGCTTGATGGACCGCCAGTCTAATGTCTCACGTCAGAACCTTCGAAATGACTGAATCCCTTTGACAGGCAATTGAAATGGTTCGAATCGAAATCCGGTTTCGCACATAGCTCTGTAGCCACATGAGTGACTTGCCGTAAGTGAGTGTCTTGATGGTCGTCGAATACTCGGTTCGAACACTAAGACTGCAATGCACAGGCCCTTCGGGATATTTCGCTTACAGACGATGCGACTCTTAAACTTCCGTCACGGTCTCCGCGGTTTCCACATGCTGGTTGTTAATTTCGCAGCAGTAACCTCTGGCCGCAGCCCCAGCAAAATGTGTAGCTCGTAATCCATGTGAACCCAAGTAAGCTGGAGTCTTGCATCACCCTAATTAGACGGTTACCTACAAGACACTAATCCATAACTTAGATATTAGAATAAGATATGACTGGAAGTTAAGTATTTCAGTTATCGATGACCAGCTACCACCTGCCTCTCTGCGTAATCTTCAACCAGAAGTCATGCGTTATCCAAAACCCAGCACTCCACAATCTCATCGGCTTTTCAGGCTTTGCAATAGCAAAATCGTACCTGCGTAGAAGCTGCAGGTGAAGATGTCAAAAAAAGGTTTTATACAATAAAGAAAGAAACAGGACCTTACCTCAACGAAGACCTTGTTTAACTCCATCAATGCAATATTCATCCCCATGCAATAAAACTTGCCATACCCAAAGACCATGTCGGTAGTTGACATCATCGCCTTATATCTTCCTTCATCATCGGACATTGCTGCCTCTATCCACCTCTCTGGCCTAAACAGATGTGCGTCAGGTCCAAAAATGTCCTTCGATCGGCCGATGCTGCAGACGTTCTCCCCCAGTTGTGTACCAGGGGGCAACTGATATCCATGGACGATGTCCCCTTCTGATGGGACCTGCTTGCTGACGATGCCAGTAGACGGTGGGTATAGACGGAGACCTTCGCGGATTACAGCTTGAAGATATGGCATGAATCTCGCTTCCGAATCTTTGATCGGAGAGCTAATCATCTTCTTCGAGACTAGTGTATCAATCTCGGCTCGGAGGGCTGTGAAGGCTTGCGGGTTGGATAGGAGTGACAAGAGAATCATACGGATGGCCGTTGCCGTGGTGTCAGAACCAGCGATGCTATGAACAGTCAACTTTCGAACAGGCCAGGATCCTACGGCGAACGAGGCGCTCACGTCTCAACGTAGACTTCCTGTATTAGCTCTTCTCTCGTCAGACCAGCATTGATAAATGACTGGATCATGTCCCGGCCGGGCTTCGTATCCGGAGCCAACCGTCCATCAACAAAGGTTTTGGCAAACCTGAGCCAAGCATGTCAGTTCTCTCACTTACTCACATGATCTGGGTGTTCAACATCCACTCACCCCATAAGCGCCCCAAATCCAGCTGCGTCTCCGGACTTTGGCAGCCCCAGATTGAGAGGCCAACTGTGCATAAGCGTAGCCAACCACGGCACGTTCCCCATAGTGATCATGACCGGAAAGAAGGCGTCTTTCGTGGCAACATACTGATACAGATCTCGGTCTTCTTTCAGGAAGCCGTATGGGGTGCCGAAGCCAAGCTCGCTAATGACATCAAGGGCAAAGTAAGTTGATTTACTGGCCATGTCCATCGGTCTGAAGTCCTTTGCGGTGGAGATATACTTGCGATCGATGAGGTCAACGAACGCGGCGATATTCTTATCTATACCGGCTTCAAATCCTCCGTTCTCCAAGCCCGAATACTGCGATTTTCAGTCAGCAACGAGGTTCTAACCTACGCTGAGTACAGCAAAACTTACACCAGGTCCCATTTTGCTCTTCAAATACTTGCGCTTCTCCTCATCGCGCATCGAGAATAGATGATCCTCTCCTGGAGTGGTTCTTCCGACTGCATACCACTCGCCCTTGGTATACTTACTGCGAGTGCCGGCGATCTTTTTCAGCGTGTCTCCATCGCTGAACATGACGGTATTGGGACCGATACGAACCAAGGGGCCTTGAATTTTGGGTCAACTTATCCGCCACATCGGGCCTGAGATGCGGAAATGCTCCTACCGTATTTCTCATGCAGTTCCATATAGTACTCATGAACCGACCCATTTAATGCAGCTCGCGCCATCGAAAACCCAGTTATTCCATGCCAGAACGGCCCAGGGACATGGGACAGCCGATACCAAGAGGAGAATTCCTTCACCAGCAGTCCCAAGATGACTGCGACAGCGAAGATCAGAACAACAGCCATCTTTTCGGTCGTGATATCCTCAAAAACTCGGCGGATCTGATGGATGTTGTAGATGTTGAAGAGTCAAAGTGAGGTTCTCTGGCAAGAAACGGCGGAGGGGTTGGAGTCTCAGCTGCTAGGTTGAGAGCTACCTTAGTGCCATGTGCCAGCCATGCAGACGCCGCTTTCGGTGTACCCCCCCGTCTAAGCTTCAGGTCGTCACATTTCGCTTCTGAGCCGCTCAAGTGACACCTCATTTGAGACGCCTCGCTGACTAAAATGAGACGTTCGAGAGGACCACGAGACCTACCCGCCAGCCCAGGCTAAAAGAGGTAAAGCTGAACAAGATAAGATGCGATTTCTTGCAGTCAAAAACCGCCAAAAGAACCTCTACTGAACATCAGCTGACGCTTCTGAGTGTGCGCGCTTATCAGTTCCCTAGCCACATTTTAGAGTCCGTTCGATACTGTAAGCATGAAGTCTGATGCGACCAAGTTAGGTTGACTCTTGATAACATTCGAGTGTTCTGAGATCAGTTTTCTCAACAAGTTGCAACAACAACTCTGAGGGAGAAATTTAGCATTATTGTATCAATGCCTACGTCCGACAAGGGCCAGAGAATCGACCCAGGACTGGCTCGCCGCATTATCAACAAAAGGTTAAGTTCTGAGTTTTCAGTCGAGATTTATTGCAGTTATAGTCAAGCTACCGCCAACACGCCCCTTTGGCCCAGCGACCCGAAAATTCCATATTAACCTCTCGATGCACACCGATATATAATCACCGTCCCCACTCAGGCATTTCATCCTGATGATTTCACACACGACCTCGACCTCGACTCGCAAGTCACCGACCTTGGTCTCCTGTGCGCGCGCGAGCCTAGTATAGGCCAACGAGGATGTCACCTCGGACCCGAGCCGTGAGGTGAACCTCGGCTTCAAGGTCAAGCTTGATACCGACCATGAGGCCGGCGTCCTTGAGCTTGCCGTTGTCGTCAACGGGACCCTTGAGGAGGTTTCCTGCCGAAGTATCGTATCAGTCTTTTGTTCATGGCCTATAGGGAAGAGTGTGAGAGAGTAAGGTAGAGGGGATGACCTTACCGATGGGTCCGTTGGCGGGGCCGGAGAGACCGGGCATGGGGAGAGAGTTACCGAAGCCGCTGTTCTGGTTGTTGGTGTTGTTGTTGTTGATGGACTTGGTGTTGTTAGTGTTGTTGAGAGACGAGTTGGGGTTGCTGGTGCTGAGAGAGTTGTTAGGGTAGCTGCTGTTGCTCGTGCTCGAGTTGAGGGGGTTGCTGGAGCTGGTGGTAGTGGTAGACGGGTTAGAGGTGGTGGTGCTGGTCGGGGGAACCGAGTTCTTGGTTCTAAAGGGGAGGAAAATTCAATTGGTCGTGGGCTCAGACCTGTTGGGTGTGCTGGTCATACTTACGGGGAAGACATGGTTGCGGTGGTGGTTGACCGGGGACGTGGAAGGGGTAATAGAGGCGGAGTGGATGGACGAGGGGTTGAAGGTCGAGGGGACGAAGGTCTAGGAGACGACGGGCGGGAGGGCTGTGAGAGTGAAGATGGCGGACGTGGCGAGGCCGGACGATCAGGAGAGGACGGTCGTGAAGAAGACGGCGATCCCAAACTTCGTACGTGGATAAACTTGAGCGATGGTCTCTGGCGAAGCTCAGGCTTTTCAGGCGGTGGCTGCTGGTCCGGCGGAATCTTGTCGAGAGACTGCTCGGAAGGAGATCTTTTGCGAGAGTGCCTGGAGGCCGAGTTGCTAAGAGACTGAGGAATCTTGGTGCTGCCGAGGAAGAAGACGGCCATGACAGCTGGGCATCTGCTTCCTCTTTTATCCTCTGCTCGACGGCCATGAAGTGAGACATTGTCGCACAAGAGTAATATGAAGATTGGAGAACATCATCCAATTTTCCTTTCGTCCGGACGTCGCCGTCGTACGCTGCTGTAGCACTGCTGCTGTCGCCGCTGCTTGGGGGATTCTCGACAAGGATGCCATAGGAACCTGGTGGTGGAGATTTCTGCAATGGAGAGACAGCTCATTGACTCTCTGCCCGACGGGATATTTCCCGCGCAGCTCCCAGCAAAAGAAAGCACATCTTCGCTTTCGGGGGTGATGCCTGCTGATCGGTGAGCCTTTTACTCCATGGGAAAGACTTGAGCGGAATACATCGGGAGCAAAGTTCTGCCAGACGCTGGCATAAATCCATCCTCCGTTGGGCTGCATTGTCACCCTTTTCCTACCTGTCGAGTACACAATCGAGGCATCACCTAGACGATTGGAGAGCAAAAATGGTAGCACAATTTATCGTCGCCTTCTCGGCGGTCTTCGGCATGGCGGAAGCTATCCGACATACACAACAGTCAGCCAGGAGGAAAGAACATCGCAGCCGGAAGAATAACCTCATTATCCGCTGCCGCAAGTCAACTTGTCACTCCCCAGATATTCACGGGAAACATGTAGTCCTCTCGGGAGACAAGGTATCTCAGATCCCAGCCACACCAGTCCCGTTACCTTGAGTCCCAAACTAGATTTGCTAATGAAAGCTGCTTGCTCCCTTCTTAGCTATTTGTCGACACCGGAACTGATCCCGATTCTGCATTTGGACACCAATTTGCGGGCTACTTCCTGCCGTACCCAGACAGCCAATACGCCGGTCTGGTCTCAACTATCTGCGACGAGCCGCCCATCATGAACTGGATCTACGTGGATCGTGACACGTACGAGGTCAAGTTCGGGACCCGGCCGTACGCTCAGCACAACTACACGGGCCCGTTTGATTGCACTAGGCAAGACAAGCGACTCACATTCGCCAGTTGGGAAGGATTCTGCGTCGTGAAAACAGGGAACTTTTGGTCTCTCTACTTTGACGTCGAGCAGGACGGGCTAAAGTCGAAGCTCCCAGAGGGTGTGACTGCCCTCGAGGTGGATCTCTTGCGCGTCGAGGTGCCTGTTAAGCCGGTCAAACCTGAGGAACAGCAGCAAGCTGGCGGCAAAGAGTCCGGTCAAGAGGGCAAGGAGAACGGTGGCAGTGGCAGTGACGGCAGCAACAACCATGACAGCAGTACCAGCCCCCAAACGGGAACAAATGAGGTGGAACTAGAGTCTCCCGAGGTTGACTGATGTGTGAAGATGCTAGGGGGCGAGAGTAGCAAGGGGAGGCTGTTCATTGCTTTGAGGGAATCTTACTAAGTAGAACAACCAACGTGTTCAGGACAGCTTCATGAACGGAGAAACAATTTCATACCTTTAATCCCAGCTATTGCCTTGCCGAGTATGAAAAGTGTGGTCCATCGGACGATTCCCGCTCCCATTTCGCAAGGATCCATGTATCACATCTTTTCCATGGCGAAGAAAACGGTTTCCAATGGCAAAAGGGGGAAGTCCCAGCCGCCCCAACCCCGGATTCCATGTAGGTACCTCTCTTGAGCCTTGCCCCATGGATGTTCCACTCAAACTTGCAGTTGCCTATCCTGCCACGATGAAAATAACGCATCCTTCGTCTAGACTGGATTTATGACCCGGGCGCGGTCTGCGAATGAACAGGGGTCATGCAGATCTCCCGCTGCTGGTCTTTGCTTGACTCCATAATCCGCGAGCTGAAGTCGGGACGAAACAGTCCCTGCGGCCAGGCCTCATCCCAGCACCGATCATGGAGCCGTCATCGTAAATCTGAACTCGACTTCCGGCTTTTACCTATACGACACGTACATGAAAGCTCGTCTGCATACCTTACCTTACGGGCACCTCACATCGCAGCGTTGTGGAAAGTTCTTTCTCCTTCATCTTGCCGAGATGATACCCGCCCTATTGTTCGTTGTCCCTGAGACATTAATGGCGCCAGCCTTGCTGCATGGCGTGACTTTGAAGGTTTGTGCCCACCTTTTCCCGGTTCCGCTGCGAGTGCGGCCGACGGCTGAGGCTCGAGAAAAGCAATGCCGCGGCGCTTAGTCCTTACAATGAGGGGCCCGCATTGTAATATCGTGCCAGCTAACCGGAATTTGAATTCGCTGTAGAAGTCACGCCACATTCGAGGTTGGTGATTTTAATTTCATTATTTTTGAGCGGTCAAGCTCAACTCGGGGTTTCTTAATCGACTCATCCATCTTATATTTGCAATTCACTGGACCCCTTCCTTTTGTTCTTGTAATTCAAGTCCTTCATGCTCCGTGCGAAATCACAACTCTTCGCCTTATCGCTTGCAAGATGATCTGATCTTGACAAATCCGCTTCCGAAGAGAATGAATCAGTTTACTCGCAAAACCCAGCAAATCAACGTTGAACAGTCGCAAGCCTGGTGTGTTGGCAGATACCCACCTAGATCGTTACCCCACACCCAGCCTCACCCGCACTACCTAACGGGATCAACCTCGCGCGTGCCGGGTCCCTACGGCGGTGGAAGTTCGTGGGAAATATTCTCAGCGGGACCAAGACTCCAGACTCAAAATCCAGGAGCAGGAGAGGAAAACAGAAAGCGGGGTGAGACCTCAACCCGGGCCGGTCCAATCTTTCCAAACCTGAGACCGGACTGTGGTCTTTGCATTTCGCAGAGGCATAGGAGTGGAGTTGCCGCTGCGCCAAGGGATGCTACTATTGTCCTTGTACGACTGAGAGCGCCATTGGGAATCCATGACGGACCTCTCAACTCCCTTTGCAAAACTCTGCAAAATTTCGTGTCTTCACGACAGCCCGTTATACCAGACAGAGCCGTCAAAACCAGGCTGTAGTCTTTGCCCGGTGCTCAATCTCCTCCGTGCCAGCCTCCGCAAAATCGAGCCGGTCTCTTCCGGCCCTCAAACCCAGCGCCGCCGAAAGGCCCCGAGATCCACTCTTCGGGATGTTGTGCAGAAACTCTAAGCCCCGGATCCTAGCGCTCGTTACCTAGCATCCCGGGAACGATCGTGACTATGCACCCACCTGCAACGTGCGTAAGCCGTGACAGCTTCGACCCTGCCATAAACCATTGGGTCCAGAGAGTTCGGAGCGTGGCGGTTCAGACATCAGGAAGCATTGTAATGTCCACACCGGAGCCCGGCGAGATCCAGCCACACGACAAACTCCCAGCAAGGCCCAGCCTTGTCTAGATCCCTCGCCTCGTTGGCCTCGTTGGCCTCGTTGGCCTCGTTGGCCTCGTTGGCCTCGTTGGCCTCGTTGGCCTCGTTGGCCTCGTTGGCCTCGTTGGCCTCGTTGGCCTCGTTGGCCTCGTTGGCCTCGCCGTCCCAGCCGAGCGACTCGCGAGGCCGTGGTCACTACAGCAGTACATACATATGTTGGGCCGACATCACCCGAGCGGCCAGCTGGAGGAGGGCCCGCTATTTGATCCTGCAGCCTGCCGCAGTGGCCTGATTCCCCAAGGCTTCGTGGCCCTTGGCGAATGGTATATCCTGGTTGTGTCTCGAGCTTCGAAGCCTCGAACTTGGATTCTTGCCAAGGCTTCGTAAATACCATCTAGAGGATGATTGACGTTGAGTTCTCTCCGACAGGTGGCTAGGTGAAACACGTATGTGCTGTTGTGCATTGTACTCACCTTGCTGATGCAAAGTCATCATCCGGCCTCGACTGATCACATATTGAAGGGGCCACTAAGGGATTATGTGATCATTCTTGAACGGCACTTAGACTCCCTTAACCTCCCTTCCTTGCCAGCTCACTTCTGCTAGTCATATCTATTCTTCCTTTTATCCTAGACATGTAGTTACGTAGAAAACCCCATGATTTGCGAAGACTCTGCGAGTGATTATTCTGGAGCAACAGAAGTAGCATGCACGCATCCTCTCCTGCTAGCCATGTTCGTCAAACGTCTGCCCAAAATCAAACGGGAATCAAGGGTGCCAGCCGCGCATAGCGGGCTCACAGCCCTGTCTACAATGTTCTCCTTCCAAAGGGGCGGGACTCCCGCCGATCACTGTCGGGAGATTTACATTCTCCCACATGAGCATAATCTGATCTCGGGTAGGTACACTAGAAACTTGCGCCCTCATTGGCCCGAAGTCTGTGGAATTTCAATGACGAGACCACAGGTGCATATTTCCGTCAATATCCAATGTGTCAATAGCGCGCCTGCAGCTCGGATAAGTGTCGATCAAACAGAGATCGTCTCCCGCGGCAAGGAATTCGGCAGTGACTACGGAGTACTCTCTCACAAATCTCAGGGGGTGAATACATGCATATGGCAACGTCTTGGGGTGGCCATCAAGGTTGCCTTCACGGCATAAGAGTTCTTCTCAAGTGGAGTTAGAATGTGGTGCAATGGTCATGAGCAGAAATGTTGTAAAAGAAAAAGGCACAAAATTAACTAAGGCCACTCTTAAGACTAGAAGATAGTAGGTATCAATATTATATTTTAGGAAAAGGCTGCATTCGTTTGCCGTGCAGCACGGAGACCGTGGTCCTCTATAGGTAATTACATAAGAATAGACATTAAATCCCTCGCTAAATCGTGATTTATGTCGACTTGAAAGAAACCGTCGCGTTGGACTTTTGCAACTTCTCGAGCTCATCCTTGAGGATGTACAAGCTCAGTCTCACACCGGCACCGCAGTACTCAGTACTGTTACCAGGACACTTGAAAGAGCAGTCCTTGGCCGTCACGTTGGCCGCGGGGGTGGTGCCACCTCCGCCACCGATGTTGAGGGCGTCGCCGCACCAGCACTCACGACCGTACTCGACACCAGCGTAGTTCTTGTTGTAGCAGGCGCTCAGACACATGCTGATCGTCATGTTGTCGCGGTTGATGATCTGGGCCGGGAGGAGACGGCCGACTTGTGGCTCGGAGAAGCAGCCGTAGTAGGTAAAGTTTTCATTGCCGGTGGAGATGACTGGTCCGGTCGGGGTGGGGGTCGCGGAGGAGGAGGTCGATGTCTTGGTTGACGATGTGGAAGTGGAAGGAACCGAAGAGGTGGCTGAGGCCGATGAAGTAGCTGATGTGACAGACGAGGTGGCCAAGAGGCTGGTGGTGGAAAGAGTGGATGAGGTGGCCGAAGCCTTAGTAGTCGCCGGGATGGACGTGTTGTTTGCTGAAAGAGTGGATGCAACAGCCTCGGCCGTCACTCTAGCACTAGAGGTGGTAGAGTTGGACGGAGTCAATGAAGCGGTCGTGCTGATGGTGCTGTTAGACGCTTGCTTCTCGGCCAGAGGAGTTTCGGTGGTGGTCGCGGTCGTGGTCGCGGTTCCATTGGACGCGGGTACCAAGGAGGCAAAGGCAGCGGCCGTGGTTGTAGTCTCAGCCGATATGGTCGTCGCAGCCACCGGCGAGTACATGTAGACTTGGAGTCGGTCACCGGCACCACAGAATTGTGTGCTGTCGCCCGCGCAGGGGAAAGAGCAATCTTTCTGGTTCGCTGCGAGAGCGCTGCCGGTGCCGAATTCATCGCCACACCAGCACTCCCGTCCATACTCCGTACCGAAGTACTTGAGGCCTTGACAGAAACCGCCGCAGGACTCAAGGGTCATTGAGTCATTAGCGTACGTCCGAGAAGAGAGAGCGCGGACGCCGGTTCCCTCGGTATAGCAACCTTGGAAGAGCCAGTCGCCAACCCTCTCGTTTGCTGGAGGAGCGGTCGAAGTCGGGGCGGCTGTAGTCGTCGTGGTAGTGCCAGTCGGGACTGCACTCGTGGGCTCAGGCAAGGTGCCATCGAGCTTGTATAGGTTGAGCCTGGAAGGTCCACCGCAGTATTCGGTGCTATTATCCGCGCAAGCCATGCTGCAGTCGGCAGCAGGGGCGGCAACTGAGGCGGCGGCCAAAGTGTTTCCGCACCAACACTGTCTCATCATTAGTTGAAGTGTTCTCAAAGTCATTTATGGGAAAGATTTATAACTGACCTCCCCACCGTACTCCAAGCCGACATAAGTATACCTGCTAGCGGCACATGCTTCGACACACAGAGCAACAGTCTTTCCAGTTGTTGTGACTAGGTTAGGCAGGGCGCGTGTGTCGGCGGGCTCAGTGTAGCAACCCTGGCTCACGTACTGACCGACACCAGGGTTCACCTCAGGGCCCGATGGGTTCGGGTTCGGCGTGGGAGTTGTCGTGTTACCGTCCCATTGAACAGAGTCAGCAAAGACGGAGATGTAAGCTCCACCTTCGTTGGCTCCGAATCCGTTACCACCGCAGATTTGGTTGAGGTCGCCGCCGCAGTCGAAGTTGCAGTTGCGATCGTCCACCTTCAGCGTGGGGATGTTGGGGCCACCCCAACATTCAGTGTGATACTGAGTACCGCAGAAGACGGACCCCTTCTCAGCACAAGCAGCGATACACTTGCCGTTGGTGCTCGTAGCGTCGCCGTACAACTGGTTTGCAAGCTGGCGGCCGGGGTTGTTTTCCTTGTAGCAGCCGATATAGCGGTACTTGCC